CATGTCAAAAACCTTTCATGAATAAATATACAATTAAAAACCACAAACAAGTGAATACATCAATTAGATAAGAATTTTAACCGTAACGTACTGTATGATATAAATTATACAAACTTTTACTAATGACCTCGTTTTATCTTTAAACTTAGCCATTTCATGAAACAATTAAATAATTACGGAAAGGAAAGTGGACAAAAACAAGTCTTAAAATATCAATGTTAATCATTTCCTTATGGTAATTACACAAACCTGAAACTTGTGAATTCCGTTGATCTGTGCAAACTCCATGTTGTTGTCAAACAGGGCTTTGGCGATGATGTCCAGGACGCCCTGCCACTGAGAGAAGAGGTGTAAATGTGAGGTCAGAGGTCAAGAGCTGTAGTCTGCCGGTTGATGTAGTAACTTATTTAATGAGAGTGTTACCGTGGAGAACACAAGAGACTTGGCTCCCGGGTCGGTCATCTGGACTTTTTTTAGGACTCGAACCACAGCCTCGACCTTCGTGGAGTGGCTACCCTATCGGGCAAAGAGATTACAGAGATGCCATATAAAATCATATCTGACTAAATGTCACATCAGTAATTTACTTTCTTCCATTGTAAAAATATATATTACAATGTGTATTTAAGTGCATATTATTTTGTGTATTACCTTTCATGTTGTGTGTGATGTATACTGTAAAAAGCAGCATGTTGACTACTTAATAAAAAGAGTAATCCTGTTTTAATTTGGAAAGTTTAATTTGAATTAACTTAATTTTTATAATTATGCACATACCACAGTTAATTTTCATAATCATTTTAAGGCAACGGTTTGCTGGGTTTTTTTAAAAGTAAAGTCAACTAATCGCTTCAAAAGCAAAGGTTTTACTCACTTTATAAAGTCAACTTATTACTATAAAAGCAACAAGTCTGCTCACTTATTTTGAGTAATTAATCACTCTAAAAAACAGGTTTACTCATTTATTGAAAGTAAAGTCAACTAATCACTTTAAAAGCAACATGTTTACTCACTTTTTTAAAGTAAAGTCAACTAATTACTATAAATGCAAATGGTTTACTAATTGAAGTAAAGTCAACTAATCACTTTAAAACCAATGGGTTTACTCACTTTTTGAAGTAAAGTCAAGTAATCGCTTTAAAGCAATGGGCTTACTCTTTTTAAACTGGTCAAATAATCGCTTTAAAGCAATGGGCTTACTCTTTTTAAACTGGTCAACTAATCGCTTTAAAGCAATGGGCTTACTCACTCTTTTTAAACTGGTCAAATAATTGCTTTAAAGCAATGGGCTTACTCACTCTTTTTAAACTGGTCAAGTAATCGCTTTAAAGCAATGAGCTTACTCTTTTTAAACTGGTCAAGTAATCGCTTTAAAGCAATGGGCTTACTCTTTTTAAACTGGTCAAGTAATCGCTTTAAAGCAATGGGCTTACTCACTCTTTTTAAACTGGTCAAGTAATCGCTTTAAAGCAATGGGCTTACTCTTTTTAAACTGGTCAAGTAATCGCTTTAAAGCAATGGGCTTACTCTTTTTAAACTGGTCAAGTAATCGCTTTAAAGCAATGGGCTTACTCACTCTTTTTAAACTGGTCAAGTAATCGCTTTAAAGCAATGGGCTTACTCTTTTTAAACTGGTCAAGTAATCGCTTTAAAGCAATGGGCTTACTCTTTTTAAACTGGTCAAGTAATCGCTTTAAAGCAATGGGCTTACTCACTCTTTTTAAACTGGTCAAGTGATCGCTTTAAAGCAATGGGCTTACTCTTTTTAAACTGGTCAAGTAATCGCTTTAAAGCAATGGGCTTACTCACTCTTTTTAAACTGGTCAACTAATCGCTTTAAAGCAATGGGCTTACTCTTTTTAAACTGGTCAAGTAATCGCTTTAAAGCAATGGGCTTACTCACTCTTTTTAAACTGGTCAAATAATCGCTTTAAAGCAATGGGCTTACTCACTCTTTTTAAACTGGTCAAATAATCGCTTTAAAGCAATGGGCTTACTCACTCTTTTTAAACTGGTCAAGTAATCGCTTTAAAGCAATGAGCTTACTCTTTTTAAACTGGTCAAATAATCGCTTTAAAGCAATGGGCTTACTCTTTTTAAACTGGTCAAATAATCGCTTTAAAGCAATGGGCTTACTCACTCTTTTTAAACTGGTCAAGTAATCGCTTTAAAGCAATGAGCTTACTCTTTTTAAACTGGTCAAATAATCGCTTTAAAGCAATGGGCTTACTCTTTTTAAACTGGTCAAATAATCGCTTTAAAGCAATGGGCTTACTCACTCTTTTTAAACTGGTCAAGTAATCGCTTTAAAGCAATGAGCTTACTCTTTTTAAACTGGTCAAATAATCGCTTTAAAGCAATGGGCTTACTCTTTTTAAACTGGTCAAATAATCGCTTTAAAGCAATGAGCTTACTCTTTTTAAACTGGTCAAGTAATCGCTTTAAAGCAATGAGCTTACTCTTTTTAAACTGGTCAAATAATCGCTTTAAAGCAATGGGCTTACTCTTTTTAAACTGGTCAAATAATCGCTTTAAAGCAATGGGCTTACTCTTTTTAAACTGGTCAAATAATCGCTTTTAAAGGAATGGGCTTACTCACTCTTTTTAAAGTAAAGTCAACTAATTACTATAAATGCAATAGGTTTACTAATTGAAGTAGTCAACTAACTGCTTTAAAATCAATGGGTACTCACTTTTTAAAGTAAAGTCAACTATTCCGTTTAAAACTAACAGGTTTACTCACTTTTTAAAGTAAAGTCAACTAATCGATTTAAAAGCAACATGTTAACTCACTTTTTTAAAGTAAAGTCAACTAATTACTATAAAAGCAACATGTTTACTCACTTATTGAAAGTAAAGTCAACTAATCACTTGGAAAGCAAAGGGTTTACTCACTTATTTTAAGTCAACTAATTACTATAAAAGCAACATGTTTACTCACTTATTGAAAGTAAAGTCAACTAATCACTTGGAAAGCAAAGGGTTTACTCACTTATTTTAAGTCAACTAATTACTATAAAAGCAACAGGTTTACTCTTTGAAATAAAGTCAACTAATCACTTAAAAACAATGGGTTTACTCACTTTTTAAAGTAAAGTCAACTAATCGCTTTTTACAGTGTAGTTGTTAGTAAATGTGCAACGTTTAGAAAGTTTTAGAGATCCAAGTCCAAATCAAATAAGGATCAAATAAATTATTATCTCTCAAAACAAAGAAGTGATTCTGAATTGTCTGCAACTTGTTAGTTATTAACGTTAAGAAGATGCAGTTTTCTGTGCTGCAAAAGCAAATCCAATTAACAAACACTTGCAACAAAAACACTACCACTTACTCCAGCATTGTTGTGTGTTTGTTTGCACTAACTTTTAATCTACACATTTCTAAACACAAACATAACGTCATCATTTTCAAAGACTTTCGTTTTCTGGTGTTTACATGAACAAAACAATGGCTGTGTTTTCAAAAGCTTTCACTTAGGGTGCTTTCACACCTATTGATTGACTGTTTTGTCCTGAAACAGGGATTAAAACTGTTCCATTGTTGTGGTTTGCTTTCACATGGCAAAGTTTCTATACCAAAAACCAAAATATTTAAAACAAGTCACATGCGAGTAAACTCTCCTTACATTGGTCAGAGTTTGGTTTGTTTTCTGAAATTTACAACATACGGTGTTATTTTAATTTAAGAGGATGAGAAATGAGACATTATAAGTAAAAAGCTGTGATTTAATTTTGACCTCACAGACCGCACCAACAGAAATAGTCATCACCAAATATAAATCAGAGATAAGAATTTCTGATACATAGTCAACTTAAGTCAACTTAACATATATATATATATATATATATATATATATATATATATATATATATATATATATATATATATATATGTATTAGGGATGTAACGGTATTGTAAATACCGTCATACCGCAATATTAAATTTTTTCGATATTACCGAAGTCGCATGACTCGGTAAAACTATAGGTCTTCTGAGAAAATTTGCTCAGGCGAATGAAGCGAACGGGAGGTAGCTGAAACTTCATTTCCCATCAGCCCCGGCGTGGCCATAATCCTTTGCGGTCTGTTGTCGCTACAGATCCAGTAATGCGGAAATGGAGTGTGCTGCTAGTAGCGGAGATGAAAAAAAGATGGAAATGATCGAACCTAAAGCGGGTGTTGTCGCCGCGCGCGTGCTGAATAGCGGTGCTGTCGCGCGCGTTCTGATCAGCGGTGCTGTCGCGCGCGTATTGTAAAGCGCCGAGGGGGGGTTGAGCGCGCATACTCAAGAGAGGTGTTATCGCGCGCCTACTGAAGGGCTGGACTGGACGGAGGTTGTGTCGCGTCGCGTCGCGGGGGCACTTTTGATCGTTTTGGAAGGGCATTTTCTATCCAAGACTAAAAAGGGCATGTGCACTGCACAGGTTGAGCCCTATGTGTGCACGTGCCTGCAAGCTGGGGAATACGACTAATAACAGTCATGGGGACTGCAGAAACACAGCACACTGTTCAGATTGATGCAGCCATTGACTTGTACCGTAAAGAGATCTCTATCTCACTCATGGTTTGTCCTCTCAAGTGGGGGGAAAGACAATGCACAACGTTACCCACTGCTGTCAACATGGGCCAAGTCATATCTCTCTTGTCCCAGAATCCTCAGTCCCAAATGAGAGGGGTTTTTTCTGTTGCAGGGGACATTGTAAATACCCAGAGATACCAGCTTTTACCAGATTATAGTTATATGATAATTTTCCTTTAAACCCATCTCTATCTAAGTGAGTGATTAAATGTTAAATGTGATGAGTTTTTAACAATACTAAATTGAAACTTTATTTTTTTTACATGGTTTAATAATTTTTTGTTATTAAAATTGAAGTTCCTGTTTCAAAGCTAACAGATAGATGGCTAATTTGTATGTCATTGACACTTTTGGCACTTTTTTGGAGTATTTTCAAAAGTTTTTTTTTTTCCTGTAAATGATTCAATAAATACCGTACCGTGACATTCATACCGAGGTATTACCGTACCGTGAAATTCTGATACCGTTACATCCCTAATATATATGTATATATATATATATGTATGTATATATATATATATGTATAAATATACATATATACATACATACATATATATATATATATATATATATATATATATATATATATATATATATATATATATATATATACATACATACATACATACATACATACATACATACATACATACATACATACATACATACATACATACATACATACATACATACATACATACATACATACATACATACATACATACATACATACATACATACATACATACATACATACATACATACATACATACATACATATATATATATATATATATATATATATATATATATATAAAACAGTTGAGTTAGAAAGTATGCTTTCACTTTCGTTTCTCGACATAAAACACATTTTACCAGTAGGAATATCTCATCATTCTCTCTTCATATAGCTGTATATATGTCTATATCATATTCATAACACACTGTGATGTAGCCTAGTTTGTTAGTTTGTTGAATTGTATTGCTATCTCACTACAACCAAACAGCTCTAGAGTTCATTTCAACCGAGCCGTGACCACCTCATTCAGGCAATCTCAGACCGATTGTTTTGGCACAGGTCAGAGCGTGACTGCGTGATTCAAATGTACCCAAATAAACCGAGCTAACGGGGCAAACGCGCTAGAAACAAACGTCTAGGTTTGATAGTACCCATTTTCATATTTATGCATTTTTTGTCACAAAAATGCAGTTGTGATGTAAACCAACAGGCAAAACACATAAAAAGTGTTGCTGAAAATATTTTGTGAAGAGCCTCTAAATGAGCAGGAACTGCTTCTGACCTTCACAGGGATGTCCTGCCCCTGGTGGTTGTTTTGAGTGGTGAACACATATGAGATCTCTGCGTGTGAAGTGGTTTGTCGGCATATGGCACACTTTATAGCTCTCCGTCGATTGCCGATGCTGTATTGCTCCACAATGATGGCGATGCACTCGTTACAGAAACAGTGTCCACAGGTCAGTACGGCCCACTAGCAATACAAACACATGCAAGACATGTTTAGGAGTAGGTACATAGATGTGTACTTTTAGCAAATTTCATTAGTTTCTGTTTTACCTCCTGACCCAGCGGACGAGCACAGATTGGACATGGTTCTGGATTCAGACCACCAGTGGACTTATCCTGAGACTGAAACAAAGTAAACAATACATTCTTGCATTTGAAGAGTTTGATCTGGCATCTGGACAGAAAGTACATTCAAGTAAACTACATTGAGAGGCTGTTACTTCAGAAATGTGTGTACTACTATATCATTTTGTATATACTTTTAACTCATAGCCAGGGCCAGACGGAATCTGCTGACATTTTTTGCTATTTCTGCGGAGAATTTTGGTAAAAATCTGCCAATTTCTGCAGAATTATTTTGGGAGTATCCAGCGGAGTATCATAATTAAAACCCTAATATATTAAATAAAAAGTAATAAATTCCTGAATAAAAACTGAATAAATTCAGATTTACACATTTACTCAAGTAAATAAACAGAATTAATAATGGGCTAAAAATCTGCAGAAATCTGCGGAATTCTGTGGAAAATCTGCGGAATTCTGCGCAGGCAGATTCCGTGTGGCCCTACTCATAGCTAACACTAGACCTTTACAAAATGAATAATAGTAAAGTAAAGCAGCTGTGCTGACCTGAATTAAAGTTTTAAATGTGATATTAAAATATACAAATAAACTGCCTGTGCTTGAAAAAAAGAAGACAGTCCTGGTGTATCTTAGTTGGATAAAGATAATAACCTTTTGCCTTGCCTTAGAAAAAAATCCTATTTTGTTTAAAACAAAATTCATATGTTTTGGTCTATTTGGATAGTATTATATGACTTTTTGGAGAGTCTAGATGGTGACTCTCTTGTTGAATTTATGTGCACTAAAAGTATATAGATTAGACAAAAAGTTATTGCTGTAGGGTTTACTATTTTTTTTTTGTGTGTATTAAGTTATTTTGAGTTTACATAATATTTTTGTTGTATTTTTTGTTAAACTAAAAATTTAAACCTTTGTCAATTTGTATGACAATGTTTAAAATAAAAATCGTTGTTCGAAAAAAAAAAAAGATCTATAAAAAATCAATTTTCACATTTATATTTCCAATATTTGAAGTACATTTATAAAACAGAAGGCTATATAAAACTTCAGATTTTTTCACTTATTACATTCAAATATTTTCACTCAGGAGATTTTGCACTTAAACAACACACACACACACACACACACACACACACACTCACACTCACACTCACACTCACACACACGCACACGCACACGCACACGCACACGCACACGCACACGCACACGCACACACACACACACACACACACACACACACACACACACACACACACACACACACCGTTGAAGTCGAATTTTTAGCCCCACTTTGAATTTTTTTCTTTTATAAATATTTCCCAAAAGATGTTTCTCTATCACTCTATCACACACACACAGACACACACAAAGACACACGTTTGTTTTTGTGAAAAGTGGGGACATTACATAGGTTTCCATTTTTTTTATACAGCCCAAACCGTATATTATATTGCCCTCACCCCACCCTACTCTAAACCCAACCATCACAGGAGTCTGTGTGCAGCTTTACTCTCAGATTAAACTCATCCTGTGGGATTTATAAGCATTTTGAGAAATGAGGACGTCACCAATGTCCTCATATTTCACCTCCTTTTTGTAATACCTGTGTCATACCCATGTCATTATACAGATTTGTGTCCTAACATGTCACACACACACACACACACACACACACACACACACACACACACACACACACACACACACACACACACACACACACACACACACACACACACACACACACACACACACACGCACGCACGCACGCACGCACGCACGCACGCACACACACGCACGCACGCACACACACACAGTGCAGAAGAAGAAAACTAATTTAAAGAAACAACAATGATTAAATAAATAAATGTATAGGGAAGTCTGCAAACAGAACCAGATAAACTGCAATAAAATGTTATTTAAATCAGTCAAAATATAAAGGAACTGTTAAAAAAACTTTAAAATTTAAATGGGAGCTAACAACAACAACAAAAAAGATTAGGTTTAAGTTATTGCTTCTGAAGTAGATATTTCTGCAGGCAAAACATTTAATATTTATTAATTTAATTAAAAAAATTACTAAACAAACTACAAATATAAGTATTATAATCAAATCACAGATGCAAATTAACAATAAACACTAATGTTTTCCTTGCAATATTTTATTAATAGAACATTGTCATAGGATAGAAATCTATTTTAATAATAAGCACTTGACTAGTTCTAGTATTCTGCTGCTAACATGATTAATATTTACCTTCTCCAGGTTTGTGAGATAGAGAAACTGCCCAAGCTTTTTTTGCAGCTGTGATTTGGCCACTGCCCTGTCATTGAGCAGCTTTATCCTGTTCTGCTCCACCTGTTCACATGTTAAGAAGAGAAAAAACTTACTTCTCTTAATCTAAAAATAATTAATAGCATGACAGACTGAACTCATTGTATCCTTGATCACCTCGTGAGGCTCAATAATATGCAGGACTTTGGGTTTGGGCTCATCAGGTAAGCGCACACGCAGCCTCTCGGTGGCCATTCCCAGCTCATCTATAGCAGATACATGATCCCGCAGAGACATCCAGTACTCATGCAGAAGCTGAAAGAGAACAAACATCTCAATGAGGAAGTTCAACCACTAGGGATGTAACGGTATCAGAATTTCACGGTACGATAATACCTCGGTATGAATGGCACGGTACGGTGTAATTTACAGGAAAAACAAAACTAATGAAAAGACTCGAAAAAAGTGCCAAAAGTGTTTATTTACCTTAGCACTGAACATATCAATGACATACAAATTAGCCATCTATCTGAAAGTTTCGAAACAGGAACTTAAATTTTTTTATTTTAATAACAAAAAACTATTAAACCATAAAAAAAAAAATAAAGTTTTAATTTAGTATTGTTGAAAACTCATCACATTCAACATTTAATCACTCACTCACTTAGATAGAGATGGGGTTTTTAAGGAAAATTATCATGTAACTATATGGTACATATAATACATATATATGGTAAAAGCTGGGATCAAAACAAAATGAATAATAGTAAAGTAAAGCAGCTGTGCTGACCTGAATTACATTTTTAAATGTGATATTAAAATATACAAATATACTGCATGTTCTTGAAAAAAAGAAGACAGTCCTGGGGCCTCATGTATCAACGCTGCGTACGCACAAAAACTTTGCGTACGCCAGGTTTCACGCTCAGAATCGCTCACGTTTGGATTTACAAACGATGAACTGAACGTGGAAATGTGCGCAGCTTCACGGCAGCTTTCTAGCAGGCGTACGCACATTTTTTGTGCGTGTCTGTTTTATTTCCATTGGCGACTCCTAGAGGCAGTTGTGTTAAATTCCTCTCTACAAAGTGTCTGAGCCTTGCAATGGCAGCTGTATGAGATGGGTTCATCTAGTAGGTATATAAGGTTTCCATACCATACAGTTGACCAGCTAAACATTAAAGCACAATTTGCAGCAGTCGTCCGTTTTCCCAATGTAATCTGAGCGATCTACCGCACGCACATTGCTATAAAGACACTATCTGAAGATGAATTTGCATGCGTGAATCAGAAACATTTCCATTCAATAAATGTGCAAATAAAATATGATGCACAAACTTATTGATGATTCCTACTTGTCTTTCTCGTGATAAATAGTGGGCAAAATCTGATATGTAGCGGGGGGAAAAAGAAGAAAGAGTTCATTAGACGCTGGATTCGAGCCGAGTTCATGCTCGAACGTATCAATATGTGTGATCAGTGATCACATGCGTCTTACGAGCTGTGCCACTGAGACTGCTAAGGGTGCTGTAACATTTTACAGATATAAACCACACTATTTCTTTTTTTAATGCACACAGTGCGATGTTCAGACCCAACTGTGTTGACCGCATCAGCTAAACTCTCCCACTCTATTTTTTTCTTTTGTTGTTAATTCCGGAGAACAAACTTGCAAATAACACCGCTTTTCTCCATTCTACCTTAAAAAGCAGCACCTCCAGTTCACTTTCTGTTCAAAGTTTCTCTTTTTGCTTGATTTTGCCGTTGCTTTTTCGTTGGGTTTTTCCATTAGCATAGTCATTAGCATATTCATACGGGGGAGGAGGCAGGGAGGGGTTTTGTGCTCGTGCATGTTGCACTCAGTTTCACGTTCATTCAGATGTACAAAAGAATATGCGTGAGATTCGGCGTACGCAGTGTTTCATACATCTGAAATTTTTTACGCGTACGTACATTTACAGCTTTGTGCGTACGCAATGTTTTAGTAAGATTTCCACGCAAGTCTTCGTACATGAGGCCCCTGGTGTATCTTAGTTGGATAAAGATAATAACCTTTTGCCTTGCCTTAGAAAAAAATCCTCTTTTGTTTAAAACAAAATTCATATGTTTTGGTCTATTTGGATAGTATTATATGACTTTTTGGAGAGTCTAGATGGTGACTCAATGACATACAAATTAGCCATCTATCTGTAAGTTTTGAAACAGGAACTTTAATTTTTTAATTTTAATAACAAAAAACTATAAATCCATATAAAAAAATTAAGTTACAATTTAGTATTGTTGAAAACTCATCACATTCAACATTTAATCACTCACTCACTTAGATAGAGATGGTTTTTTAAGGAAAATTATCATGTAACTATAATCTGGTAAAAGCTGGGATCTCTGGGCATTTACAATGTCCCCTTCAACAGAAAAAAACCCTCTCATTTGGCAGTGAGGTTTCTGGGACAGAGAGATATGATTTAGCCAAGGTTGACAGCAGTGGGTAACGTTGTGCATTGTCTTTCCACCACTTCAGAGGACACTCCATGAGTGAGAAGGTCTCTTTGTGGTACAAGTCAATGTCTGCATCAATCTAACAAGTGTGCTGTGTTCTGCAGTCCCCATGACTGTTTTTAGTTGTATTCTCCGACTTATATTTCACCACAGTCTGGCAGTGCCTGCATACCGTTTTTGTCTTTGTCTGTCACCTTTTCTCCTTTTTCGTATCTTTTTAGAAAGAAACCGAAATGCTTCCACACATCCGATTTAAAACCCGCTTTATGTTCGATCATATCCAGCTCTTTTTCTTCCCCGCTACTAGCAGCACACTCCATTTCCGCATTACTGGATCTGTAGTGACAACAGACCGCAAAGGATGATGGGAATTGTAGTTCCCGCTACCTCCCGTTCACTTCATTCGCCTAAGCAAACTTTTCTCAGAAATATAGTTTTATTGAGTCATGCGCCGACGGTAATATTGAAAATTACTATTGCAGTATGACGGTATTTACAATATTGTTACATCCCAATCAACCACTCTATCATCCATCACACAGACCATGATGACAAACCTTGTATTCTTTCTTCCAGGACTCGAAGAGCTCCATGAAGGAGTTTCCCTCCTCGATGAGGCCAGACTCCAAGCGGCGGACTTTAGCGAAGGACAAGATGGCTTTAAGAGCTCGTTCGGTCTCACTGGCGGCCCATAATCCTCTACTGGTGGTGGGAAGCCTGTCATCTACCAGCCCTTCCTCGTCTTCAATCATCTCCTCAAAGATAGCCGTCTGCCCTTTTACTCTGCCCAGAACACATTAAAGAAAAATGTAATGACCATGTTCTTCATATAGATGAAGGCAAAATTATTAACCCTGTGTGAAATTTGTATCCTGTTAATAAAACATATTGTGATGTACAATACCTGACAAAAGTCTTGTCGCCTAATAAAGTTTTACGAACAACAAATAATAAGTTGACTTCTAGTTGATCATTTGGTCTCAGAAGTTGCTTATATGTAAAGCAAAGGCCTCTAGATTACGCTTAAATAAAATGAGATAATGCCTTGATTTTTAATTATTTAATTAAGACAGAAAGGTCTGACTTTGTCTGAACAGAAATAATAGTATAGAATATAAAGTCATGCTGCAGTGAAAAAAGAATGAATATTGTGTCTGACTCCATCATGAGCTTGAAGGACTGCATCCATACATCTCTGCAATCACTCAAATCACTGATTAAAGTCATCTGGAATGGCAAAGAAAGCGTTCTTGCAGGACTCCCAGAGCACATCAAGATTCTTTTGATTCATCTTCAATACCTCCTCCTTACTCTTACCCCAGACATGCTCAATAATGTTCATGTATGGTGACTGGGCTGGCCAATCCGGGAGCACCTTGACCTTCTTTGCTTTTAAAAACTTTGATTTGGAGGCTAAAGTATGAGAAGGAGCGCTATCCTGCTCAAGAATTTGCCCTCTCCTGTGGTTTGTAATGTGATGGGCAGCACAAATGTCTTGATACCTCAGGCTGTTGATGTTGCCATCCACTCTGGAGATCTCTCGCATGCCCCCATACTGAATAAACCCCAAACCATGATTTTTTTTTCACCAAACTTGACTGATTTCTCTGAGAATCTTGGGTCCATGCGGGTGCCAGTAGGTCTTCTACAGTATTTGTGATGATTGGGATGCAGCTCAACAGATGATTCATCGGAAAAATCTACCTCCCGTCACTTTTCCAAATGATCAACTAGAAGTCACGTTATTCCTTGTTGCTCTTTCAACTGGGATCGATAGCAAGACTTTTGTCAGGTAGTGTATAATGTTGGAAGGAAATTGTAATTAAATATATTATTTTATTTCTTAGTGAGAAGGTCTTATTTCTTTTAGTTTGGCTGGAATAAAATCAGTTTTTAAGTTAACATTAGACCCCTTTTTCTGATTGTCTACAGAAAAACCACTGTTGTATACCTAATTAAGCTGGCTTGCCTAGTTAAGCATTTAAATACTAGAATATTGAAAAATAAATAGTAAAATATACTGTTTATTGCTGTTATCATGGCAAAGCAAAATAAATTATTTCTTAAATCTCTAATTTTTATAAATATGTTAATAAAATCTCTCCATTAAACAGCACTTTTTTGAAAATATTTAATTTTAAATATATATCTACATTTTTATAATAATAAAAATTTCACAGGAAGACTTTTCCTTTTAATTTTAACTGTATTTATTTTGAAACAATATCTCTGCCAAAAATACTTTATTAACTTCTATAAAATAAGTTATTTAAATTACATTAATCTGATACATTAATCTTAAACTATTTAATCTGTACCTCACATGTAGCTATTCTAGGACTTTAGAATAGAAAATACTTTTATTATGTATTTTCTTTTCATCGTTGGATTCCACCGTACTCAAAAATGCATTGATAAAATTAGACAGTTCTGTTAAACCTTATTTGATCTACAAAAGGTCTAAAATATAAAAGATTAAAGTATAAAAAGATTAAAGTATAAAAGATTATAGTGAGAAAAAAAATAATGAGAGCTTTAATTTGTTTTATATGTTTTAGAACTTACGTGTGCGAGAAAAGCTTCGACTCGTAGTCTGTAAAAAGTTCATCTGCTTTGCAAAACACACAGCTGTGGAACAAATATTAGAAGAAAAAAACATTTTATATTCAAAATGAACTGTTGCAATAGCTAAGTTGTAAATAATACATTATTAAAAAATATTCATTTACTGTGCAATTTCTTAAACACAAAAAAGTCTAAACCAAAAAGCAATTATAAAAGTTACCAAACATATGCTTCTCAAAAGAGGTCATTATTATTATTAGTATTAGTATTATTATTATCATTATTATTAGTAGTAGTATTAGTAGTACTATTATTATTAGTTGAGTTTAATTGTAGTTTAGCCTATTTTTCATTTTAGTTTTTTTCTGTCTGGTGGTTTCATTTAGATAGCCCACTTGCTCAATGCTAAAATAAACCATTCCAGCACTCGCAGTAAAAGATTTAACAGGTCATCTACTGGGTGCGCATTTCCTAGCAACAAACCTGCCTAAACGTTGTTGTCCGTCTCTCAAAATTGTTTAAATGTTAATAGATGGTGTGACCGAAGTCACTGTAAGAATTAGTCTTTGTGGCGACACAACTTGTACCTGTGCGTGCCTTTGAAATACCGCTTGATGCTTCTTATGTCTTTGTGGCAGCATCAGTGGCAACAAAATTAGGCACCGAAATGCAGATGCTGATTCAGTGATTCTGCTTGTGAGGGACTGTTCTCACTCTCAGCTCACATCATTCAAAAGAAAAGGGCCATTTTGTCACCCGGCAATGTCAACAGACTGGACTGTTTTAGCAATTGGCTGAATGTAAAGGAGGACTAAGCAAAATTGTTTCTATTTTATAATTAATGTTCTCAACTCACAGTAATACAACTCTTCAATGAGTGCAATGAGTAAATTGTGTATTTTGGCATTTTTTGCAGTCCACTTAGAATCCAACATTTTTTCTCTTTATTGGCATTGATTGTTTTGAAATTTAAATGGCATTAACATGCCTGTGTTTTAATTTCTGTAATAAATATGGCTGTCAAGCCAGGATCTTGATGGTTTATTGTGGGTTTGTTGTTTACATGAAGAAATCTGTGTTACAAGTTAAACAAAAATTCTAATACACAATTATATTTAGAATTTAAATAGTTTTTGTCTTGCGTTTACATTAATTTTACATTTGAATAGCCAAAATGACATGTTTCAGTCTTTTAAATGTAATTAATCGCGATTAGTTGAAAAACAAGTGTGCTTAATAAGTTGATTTTTTAATCGATTGACAGCACTAATATATATATATATATATATATATATATATATATATATATATATATATATATATATATATATATATATATATATACAGTTGAAGTCAGAATTATTAGCCCCCCTTTGAATTTTTTTTCTTTTTTAAATATTTTCCAAATTATGTTTAACAGAGCAAGGAAATTTTCACAGCATGTCTGATAATATTTTTTCGTCTGAAAAAATTCTTATTTGTTTTATTTCGGCTGGAAAAAAAGCAGTTATTAATTTTTTAAACACCATTTTAAGGACAAAATTATTAACCCCTTTAAGCTATATTTCTTCCCGATAGTCTACAGAACAAATCATCGTTATACAATAACTTGCCTAATTACCCTAACCTGCCTAGTTAACCTAATTAACCTAGTTAAGCCTTTAATGTCACTTTAAGCTGTATAGAAGTGTCTTGAAAAATATCTAGTCAAATATCATGTGCTGTCATCCCGGCAAAAATAAAATAAATCAGCTATTAGAAATTAGTTATTAAAACTATTATGCTTAGAAATGTGTTGAAAAAATCCTCTCTTTGTTAAACAGAAATTGGGGAAAAAATAGGGGAGCTAATAATTCAGGGGGGCTATATATATATAAATATTAAACAGTTTTAATTTGATATATAATTATATTTAAATAAAATGCTGATAATAGAAAATAATAGAAGGCACAACATATGTATTATATATATATATATATATATATATATATATATATACACACACACACAATACAATAATACATTTGTACATATATATGTATATATATAATAAATAAAGGTTTAAATGAGCATTTCATACAAATATTTTTGAGAAAGGATATTTTTCAGGTGGGCCTACAAAAATTTATCAGAGAAAAAAGTGGGCCCAAAGTGAAAAAGGTTGAGAACCCCTGCGGTTAATAATCCTGAATCAGCATCAGTTTTACAGCCTTCTCATAGAGAAAGAACACATCTATGCCCTGCCATACCACACTGAGGTATTCTCACAAGGAAAGGAAATGTAACTATTTCACATTTTGTCAGTTTTGAGGCTAATTTGTACAAGTTTAGTCGTACGAAAATATACAATATAAAAAAAGAGGCATGGCACCCACACCTCTAAACCCAACTATCATTGGAGGACAAGCAAATCGTACTAAATTGTATGAATGAGATTGTATGAATCCATATGAATTAGCAACTAAATCAAAAAGTTATTAATTTCTGTGGGATCGTGTTGTCCTCACGCTCCAGCGTTATGTTTTATGTTGATCATACTAAAACAAAGAAAACAATCTCAAGTTCCTGTTTTTAAGTTATATATACCATGATTTTACTGGTCTGGCCCACTTGGGAATAGATTTTTCTCCATGTGGCCCCTGAGCTAAAATGAGTTGGACACCCCAGCTCTAGAGACATCAGAGACTTACACACGCGTTTGTTACATCTTGTAAAAAGGGGCATAATATGTCCCCTTAAATCACAATAATAATGCATGGCCTCTTTTGAGAAGCATATATTTAGTACTTGTCATTGCTTTTTAGCTTGGACTTTGTCACACTGTTAGAAAGGATGAATTTCACCTATAAACATTTAAAAGCTTTTACTTGTTCAGTGGCAGACGAACAGGTCGCAGGTGGCAAAGTGTTGCTTCCTCGATGACTTGTTGAGACGGCGGCCCTTCCAGCTTCTTCACAGCATCCTGGACTGTTTTCTGTGACTTCATCAAATCATCCATTTGAGTGCTGAGCAGAAACTGAAGACCCCGAGCGTCTCGAAATCTATGAATGAGACGTTCTGTTACATGGGATTTCTTTAGTATCAAAGCGTGATGTATTCATGAGATGCTGGATTACTTGTCTGCCATTGAGAGCTTGTTGGCTTGTTGTTTATAACTGCATGTAAGCTCATTTTGAATGCGGCTGACAAGATCATCATCCATGGAGTACTGCATGGCCTGCTGTATGACATCCAGCCACCAGGGGGAGCGAAGGTTTACCTAGGATACAGTTTGCAGTTATTATATTTAGGGATGCATTGATATGGAATTTTTGACCAATACTGATAACCAATAACTCTTTAGAATTGGATACAGATACATATTGGCACAGACAGAATCTGCTGACATTTTTTGCTATTTCTGCTAAGAATTTTGTAAAAAAAAAAAAAAAAAAAGTACTTGATAATGATTTTGGGAGTATAACTAAAACTATAAAATAAAAAATAATACCTTTTATTAACTTTTATTTAATGTTTACAATGCAAATCTAATTAGATCCACTTATTTGGTATACAAAGCAAGTCATAAAATATATCTACTCAAAGAAAATATTACTTTACAAAACTATTGTTAATAAACCATATGCACATTTTCATTTGTCAATAATATAACTGAAGTTAATTTAAAAACTGAAAAAACATAAATTTACACACATTTACAGTATTAAACACTTAATAATGGGTTGAAAATCTGGAAATCTGCATGATCTGTAGATTCCGTGTGGGCCAACCGATATCCTATATAATTAGCCAATAAATCTACATTTTTTCAATATTTTTCTGCATAATTACAAAAACAAAAGCCAAACAGAAATAAATAATAATAACAGAAATGAAATAATCTCTGAACTTTACTAATCAACCATTCTTGTCTTTGGCCAAATTTCTCCTATAAAAAAATGCACAAAACTGTGAATATAAATCTAAAATCTGCGCTCAGCCAAAAAAGAAGTACAAAAATACAAATAAAAACTTTTATCAACTGTATTCATTAAAAGGCTATCACGTATCAGGACATACTTAATTCAACACTTTTGGAGCATTGCTGTTGCCGCATTTACAGTTGCATTCAGTATTATTAGCCCTCCTTTGAATTTTTTTTCCTTTTTTAGCAAGGAAATTTTCACAGTATGTCTGATAATATTTTTTTTCTTCTGGAGAAAGTCTTATTTGCTTTGTTTTGAATATATAGCATTTTTACATTTTTAAAAAAAAACATTTTAAGGTCAATATTATTAGCTCCTTTAAGCTATTCATTTTTTTTCAATAGTCTACACAGGACAAACCATCATTATACAACAGCTTGACTAATTATCCTAACCTGTCTAGTAAACCTAATTAACCTAGTTACGCCTTTAAAAGTCAATTTAAGCTGTATAGAAGTGTCTTGAAAAATATCTAGTAGAATATTATTTACTGTCATCATGACAAAGATAAAATAAATCAGTTATTAGAAATGAGTTACTAAAACTATTATGTTTAGAAATGTTCTCTGCGTTAAACAGAACTTGAAAATAGGAGGAAAAAACAGGGGGGCTAATAATTCAGGGAGTATAATAATTCTGACTTCAATTGTATATGAGTTTTTTTTTTTTTCAGTTTTTTTTTGTGCTTCCTTTTCTATAAAAATAAAATCTTTTGCCTGACAAAAAGAGAATAAATAAAGCAACCAATTTACTGAAAATGGTAAAATAATAAAAAAAAAAAGTGGACAGCAAGCATGTGAGAAGTGATTCAACCAACAGAAAAAATACATAGTTAATTGACATAAATTATAAATACACAATTAATCGGCCTCGGTTTTAAACGGGCCAATAATGATAACATTAACAATAGGATCTATCTGCTATTTCAGCCTGATCTCACGAGGAAACTTAATTAATTTACGTTTTGTTACTTTAGCAGCTAATTCATACAAATTCATACAAGTTCTGTTGTACGAAAATGTACATTTATAAAAAGGAGGCGTGGCACCAAACCCCACCGCTAAACCCGACCAAATGAGATCGTACGATTTCATACGAATTAGCAACTAAATTAAAAAGTTACAAATTGCTGTGAGATTGTCTTGGATATTTAGCTGCTGATATATTACCTAATTATATTCAAATATTCATTTTCTTTTCGGCTTAGTCCATTTATTAATCTGGGGTCGCCACAGCGGAATGAACCGCCAACTTATCCAGCATATGCCTTTCCAGCTGCAACCCACCACTAGTAAACATCCATACACACTCATACACTACGGACAATTTACCCTACCCAATTCCCCTGTACCGCATGTCTTTGGACTTGTGGGGGAAACCGGAGAACCCGGAGGAAACCCATGCGAACACGGGGAGAACATGCAAACTCCACACAGAAACGCCAACTGACCCAGCTGAGGCTCGAACCAGAGACCTATGTGCTACCCACTGTGCCACCGCGATGCCCCCTAATTATTTTAAATAGTAAAAAAAACAAAGCAAAAAATGTAATAACCGAGCGTCTACCTTGCGTCTTTGTTCTTTAATGTGCTGAAGAACAGGCTGTAGGTTTTGATGTGCTTCAGAAACCTCAGAGTTCACTTTGGCCATGTAATGCTGCTTCAGCTGCTCGGCCTGGGACGAATGATTAGAAAACTGAGCAAATGTACTTTTCACAGACAGTTTATATTTAAAAAACCGCAAGTGATTGGTTAACCTCTTCTTTGAGACTGTCATCTCTCAGGGTTGGAGGAATCCCAGGGTGGTTTGCACTTAGAAGTTCCATTAGATTGTGGGTTGCATGAAGCCTCTGTGTTTTCAAATAAACAAAACATGTTAGGAAACATTTAATGATTGTCTGTAAAATAAATTGGTTTTGCATGCATGCTTTAACAAGCTGATCTATAGAGAGTTATACAGACATCCTACAGGTAATTACACATTTGTTCTTTTCTTTACAAGCAGGAGAAGCTAATCTGCCTCCCAAATCCCAAAATAGGATTTGAATGGTGGAGTCTTTATTCTAACTAGAAATCCCCCATTAATTATTATTATATAATAATGATTTATTTTAGATATTATATATATATATATATAATAATGATATTATTTTATATATATATATATATACACAAACACACACAAAAAAATTTTTTTCCATTGTTTCCAATGGTCCAAAATTTATATTAATTACTGCATTAAATATTTTTCCACAATATCCTCTCAAAATGCAAAAAAGAAAAATATATCATATATAGAATAAATAAATGATTTTCCTCAGAAATAATAATAATAAAAAAAAAACAAGTTACAGGTCTTTGGGTCACTTTTGACCAGAAAGCTAAATGCGAGCTAAATGAAAGAGAATTGGTATCATTTACCTGAAGGGAATCAGTTTTCAGCCTTGCTTTGTGTTCTTCAGATGATCGCAACACTTCCCTGTACATCTCCGCTGCATCTACAAACTCACCTGGGTAAGAACAGAAAACAGTTCACTAATGTCCACAGCAGTCAAGGGAGATGCAAATAAACACTGTAGATGTTCAGAAATGGATTACTTCTAATGATGTGGATTCCAGCCAGACCGTTGAGAGCACAGACCAGCTGCCTGTGCGCTTCTTCACACTCCACACGACATTTCTTCTGCAGCGACTTCAACAACTCCTCCATTGTCATTGTGCTTAAACGTAAAACAAACTAATCAATGGCTGTTTTTATCCACCTATTTGCAAATGCACATAAAAAATGTTTAAAGAAAATGCCAAGATGCACATACATTTTGAAAATGCGCACGCACACACACATACGCACACACGCGTTTGTTTTTTGTGAAAAGTGGGGACATTACATAGGTTTCTATTCATTTTATACTGTCCAAACTATATTGTATTGCCCTCACCCCACCCTACCCTAAACCCAACCATCACAGGAGTCTGTGTGCAGCTTTACTCTCAGATTAAACTCATCCTGTGGGATTTAAGCATTTTGAGAAATGAGGACGTCACCAATGTCCTCATATTTCACCTCCTTTTTGTAATACCTGTGTCATACCCATGTCATTATACAGATTTGTGTCCTGATATGTCACAAAAACACGTGCACCTCTGCTGACTGTGCGCGCACCTCACGAAATGAACGAGGCTCTTTAAAACGACAGGGGGTGGTCAAAAGAAACCCACTGTAAAGTCAGACGGATAAACAGAAGTAGGAAGTGTCCAAATCTACGTCATATCATCAATATCATTCGACTTTTAAACTAATTATTTTTATTAATTATAACAATTATAAGGATTTTTATAAACATTCAAGATTTTTTTAATCAAATTTTGATGCATCACTTGCTTTTGTTCAAATCTCGGACAGTTCTACCTATTAAAGTTAAATATTAATGCCAAGAGAAAATGGGTTGCTCTACAATTATATTTTTTATTATGGAAAGAGTAAAAGCAAAAAAAAAAGTAAACTAAATTACTAAGAATACTGATGTTTTTTTTTATTTAGCCCACTCAACAATTGATACCTTACTTTCTGGCTAGTTTCTGTCCTATACTTATGCTAAAACGGCAATAATGCTCCAACATTCCTGATCATCATCACCAATAAATCTTAGAAAAATAGGGAATCAGTATAATGTAATCTCATATGTTCAAATATTACGCTCCCAAAGTGAACCTCTCTAGCAAACTCTGCAATGATGTCACATTCACCACGCGCACTGAGTTCAATAACAGAAAGCTGATTGGCTGTTGCATGTTGGTCTCATTTGTAGTTGTAATACAGAAAATTACATTTGGATTAGTGAAATAAAGACCTACAACAACACGAAAACCAAGCAGGAAAAGGAATTGAAATGAGCATTACATGTAGCGTTACATAGACATCAGAAAAATAAGACCTGTGCAAAAATATGTAAGACCTAAAACAGCGAATTTAAGACTTTTTAAGGCCTAAAATTATGATTTTTCAATTTTAGACTTTGTAAGACCCCGCGGAAACCCTGATAAACAACGATGGAAATACATTTACCGAATAAATTCCAGCATGCGCATCAAAAATGTGATTTTGTTTTAACACGCTCGGGTCAGGTAGAAAATTATTCTAAGCAGCAGCAGGTGAACAAAAGCTGAATATACAGCGGGAGTGGTCGGGTGCGCAATAAACCTCGTGGGAGCGAGCGAGACAAAAAGAAATTTGTCCCACACAGACCTTTACAACAGTTAATCAGGAAGTGAATATTTCGTTCCCCTCGAATCATATGATGGAAACGATGATTTAATCGCAATGTTTTTCAAATGTGATATTCCAGTTTTGTGCATAAATCTAAATTGCATCTTTGATTGGACACATAGTGAATGTTGACAAACTACACACTTTATTTCCCTGCCAAAAAACTACTCAAACAAACCTTTTTTGAAGGGGTAGAAATTCTCCTCGGACGGCCTGCGGGTGGCAGCAGGCCTGGCGCAGACGCAAAAGTGGGTATAATATGGTAGTGACGGTACGACGGTCCAAACTTCCTAGCTTCAGTGACCAATCTGAGATCTTCCTTAGCTTCACTAAAGCATCCTGGGAGCAAACCTCATGCTGACGGTGGTAAAAGTGTCTTTCCACGGGGGAGAAGTTAAGCCAATGGATCTCCTCTGTTTGAGGGGGGATTTGGATCTGCATATGAAGTGTGTGACAGAAGATCAGTGCAAGGATAAGTCTTTAGATTATGATTCCGAATAGTGTCATCTACTAACCTGATCAATGACGTCTTTTTTGGCAGATCGCCATAGTAGTTGACCAATGACGTTGTAGAGCGGTGCTGTATTGCCGTGACGGTACGGGCGATAGAGTAACTGATCCCACCAGTACTTCACCCAGTAGGGATCAACTCCCAAGAACAGGACGAGACCATACAGGTCTAAAAGATTTCAGAAAACAAACTACTGTTATCATTTAATAAATGGATTAATAGTTTAACTTAAATTTAATGATGGATTAATAAAACTCCTTCTTTTTTTATAATGTTTTAAAGTGTTCCAACAAATAAGACTTTCTCCAGAAGAAAAAATATTATCAGTACTGTGGAAATTTCCTTGCTCTGTTAAACATAATTTGGAAAATATTTAAAAAAGCAAAAAAATTCTAAGTGGGGCTAATAATTATATATATATATATATATATATATATATATATATATATATATATATATATATATATATATATATATATATATATATATATATATATATATATATAGTTTTATATATAATTAAATGTAAATAAAATTCTATATTTATTTATAAAATGCTGATAATAGTAAACAACATAATGCACAACAACCATTTACACAAACATTTTAGAGAAAATGTCAGAAAGGTGAGCCTTTAAAAATTTATCGGAGAAAGAGGTGGGCCCCGTAGTGAAAAAGGTTGAGAACCCCTGTACTATACCAGGGATTCCCAAACTTTTTTATTCCGGGACTCACCTAGGCAAGTAATTCAATCTCAAGACCCACCCTAATATTTTAATATGGGAAAATGGGTAAAAAAATGTATCCATTCAAAGCAGTCAAAAATATACGGTGTGTGGCTTTTTGGATTTTGTGATTTGATATGCACAAAATGAGGCTTGAAGTGCTTTTTGTGAGATGCTGGCTGTAACTGTGATCATTTTTCTTTTTTTTTTTGAAAAGATACTCTTCTTTTTTTAGAAGAGAATATGATCAAGCTTTGATCAAGCCCCTTGATTATGATCAAGCCCCGTCACATCGCAGTAAACTCCACTGCTAGTGTTTAGTCATAAGAAACTAAATAGCTTTTTGATCGACTACTACAAGCTGGGAAAACGTCAGATAAATATGCCAATGCAATTAACGCTATTGCTGAATAGATCTAATATTTACACATTTGCTTGAGGAAGGAATGATGGAGGTAGTTACATTAATATTACTATTTTTCATAACATCTATGCCCTTCCATAACATTAGGTGACGTTAAAACTAACAGATAGCACTATTTAGCTATCTAGTTAGCTATTTATTGATTAGCAATCTGTCAACGTTGGGATGTAAAAAATATGGGACAACAAATAGCTTCAAATGATAGAATACATAGAACATTAGAAAATATTGACAATAAAATAAAAGGTTTAGCCTATTAAAATCAATGGCCTATACAGAAATAAATAAAGCTATAAAATCTATTTTACTTGTAAATGTATTTGCATATTGATTAAAGTTACCATAGTTATTTAGTGAAGAGCAGCAAATAAATCTCTCATTGTGTTTTGTTTGATTACAGAGGTATCACTTTAAGAATGCGCAGATCTATAATGAAGCATTCGACTACTTTAGTAACTGTTTGTGCTCATTTAAGAGAAAATTAGTAGTGTTTAAAATAAAAATAAAACTCCGCAGGACGGAGCAAAAAAACCCCAAAAAAACCCCGAAAAGAACGAAAAAAATAAGCACTTTACCGACGGTCCCTTAGAGCTCCGCTCTGCGCGAGCTCTCCCAAACGCAAATTGCGAGGGCTCAAATGGAGCAGTGCTCATAATGTCAAGCGAAAAAAAAGAAAAAGACAGCTGTGAAACATAACCAGCTTTGTCTTTCTGTAGGAAACACATTTTAGATATTTTTAGGGTAAGAGGTTTTTGAGTTGTTGCCATCAATCGTACTGGTTTTGATTTACCGCAATGTAAATAGCTGCAGCTATGTGACGTTGCGCGACACACCTTTGTTCACTGTGCGACCCACTAGTGGGTCGCGACCCACAGTTTGAAAACCCCTGTACTATACTATACGAATATAGATTTTTTAAAAATGACAAATTTCTTCTATTTCAGAAAAATTTTAATTCTGCTCACCCTCCAAACCTCTCTGCACAGGTGTTCCACTCACACACCAGCGATTAACAGATGTGAGACGCAAAGCCATTTCTGCAGCCTAAACAAAAACAAACAAACAATTATTATAAAAATGATATCCTTACCAACTTATGTGGCCCAAATGATATTGTCCTCCCTTGGATTAAGTAGGGTGTATACAGTGATGCGATCACCTTGGCTGTGGTGCACTCCACCATCTGAGCTTCATCTAGACAAACGCGCCACCACTCCACAGCCACTAGAGGGCTCGGTATGGCCATGTAGCGCTTCTGGTTGCGGAATCGACGGCCATCTTTACTATTGCTGTGAGGAATATCCACATAATTGAGTTCAGTGCGCAGAACGTCATAAGTGGTGATGACCACATCCTGCTCGGCCAGAATGTGAGGCTGGATAAAACCGTGTCTCTTCACGCCCTGATACACCTAAAAAGAAGATAAACAAAGGTTAACTGCATGCTCCGATTTACCTCTATGAGAATAGGGAAGTTTATAGATAATAATAACATACAGTTGAAGTCAGAATTATTAGCCCACCTGTATATTTTTTAACCCAATTTCTGTTTAACGGAGAGATTTCTTTTAACACATTTTTAAACATAATAGTTTTAATAACTCATTTCTAATAACTGATTTATTTTATCTTTGCCATGATGACAGCACATAATATTTTGCTAGACATTTTTATCTAGTAACTGCGTGTCCTAACAACACTACGTGAGGAGATTTGCAGTGATGAGCAATTTGCCTGTTTGCACCAGACGAAACACGACCGAAATTCAAATACAGCCATTCAGAAACACAGAATATGCTCTCACTCACGAAATGGTAAGATTTATAATCTAATTAATACAAATTAAACCTTTTTAACATTATTAAATGTAGATGCTGAATCACTGATATGTGTTGGTTTGCATTATTTCACAGCTCTAAAGTTCAATTTCAAGCGGTTTATTTTATTTTCAAGATCTGAGCTGAACTATCTGCTGCTGCTTTCAGTAGTATGGCAATAAATGTCATGTAAAATTTCATTCAGACTCACATTATTAGCATTTAACACTGAATTAAGCACATGAGGTGTACCTGAGGTGATCATTAACAGTTTTCTGTTGTTCAACTGTGAGAAATAGAAGCCGTTTCTAAAATATCAATTCGAGGTGTTGGTTAGGACAAAAACTGCTTTTAATATGGAAAATATTCCTTCTATTTCCATTCTGCTGCTTTTATTAAGAACAGCCTTGTTAGTTCTCAATCAGGCAACCTGCGCTTGCATTTCTGGATCAAAACGAACGCAATACCTAGTTCAACCACTGGGTGTCAAACTTACATACTGCACCTTTAAAGTGACATAAAGGGCCCTATTATCCACCCGGTGCAATAAGGCACAAGACGTGTTTCTATGACGTGTTGCTATTTTCAGACCTTAATTTTCCCGTTTTCCACCACGTTGTTTAAATAGGAAATCCATACGCGCCACTTTGTGGACTCATGGGTGTTTCGGTCTAGCTAAGAGGCGTGTTAAGGTGCATTGTTGGCACGATGCTATTTTGCGGAACTAAAACAGACTGGCTCGTTCTTTATAATCGTGCCGCTGATGGTCTGTTTAACTGTTTTCTCGCTAGTGAAGCGTTCAGTTTTTCCACTTACAAAGTCGTCATGTAAATAGCAAATGAGCCATGGCGCGACGCAACTGACTCTTAAAGGGAATGGGAGATAAGACTCTGATTGGTTTATTCTAAAATACACCTATAACTCATTAAGAGAATAAGCTCAACCCTGTTAGACCACGCACCGTGGCGCAAAGCGGATTTTTCCGTCCTTAAAATAGCAAAAGTGGATTCTGACAGGCCCTTATGCTTTTGCACCCTGCGCTTTAGAGCCCTTAAAAGCTAAGCTAGGTTAATTAGGCAGGTTAGAGTAATTAGGCAAGTCATTGTATGACGATGGTTTGTAGACATTCGAAAAAATATATTGCTTAAGGGGCTAATAATTTTGACCTTAAAATGTTTTTTTTTTTTTTATTAAAACTGCTTTTATTCCAGCCGAAATAAATCAAATAAGACTTTCTCCAGAAGAAAAATTATTATAGGAAATACTGTGAAAAATTCATTGCTCTGTTAAACTATTATTTGAAAAGAAAAAAAAAAAGAAAAAGAAAGAAAAAAGAAATCACAGGAAGGCTATTAATTTTGACTTCAACTGTATATAGTCAATATGTTTGCATTTAGAAGTACTTTTTTATACTGATGAATGATAAAAATACTGATTAATAAAAATACGTTGTGCTGTGCTTTAAAGATATGATATATAAAAAACATTAACTGAAAAACGACTCATCAAAAATCCTTTAAAAATGATTTCCAAATCTATTAACAATTACAAATGCTTATTAAGAAGCTAATTAACACATTAAGGGCCCTATCATACCCCTGGCGCAGTGTGGCGCAAGGCGCAGCGCAATAGTCTTTTGCTAGTTTCAGCTTGGCACAAGCGTCGTTTTTAGGGCGTTGCGCTACGCTGTTTCAATAGCAAATGCATTAGCGCTCATTTGTGCGCCCATAGGCGTTCTGGTCTAAACAGGAAGGTGTTTTGAGGCGGACCTGGCGCGTCGCTATTTTGAGAAACTATAATAGATTTTTCATTAGACCAAAACTAAACTGGTCTAAACTCCAGTGCGGAGTTGTGCCTCGCTTACACACTGCTTAATACGCACAAGAGAGCAATAGGCAAATATCTTTACATATGAAAAAATGTAAATATTAAGGATATATATAGGATATAATAAGAATAGATATAGGATATAAATATAAAGGATTAAAATATTACACAACATTATTTTCTAGCCTACATAAATATGAAAAACCACTGCTTTTATGTCTTCTTCATCTCAGGAGGCTTTTTCAGTTTGTTCATAACAATTTGCTTTTGTATAATGTTATTATTATTATCAGTATTATTTATTATATCCATATTTATATTTGTTTTATTAAAAACAAGCTTAGATTTGCCCACCTGTCAGGTTTTAGACCAATTGGGGCATGGCAGGTGTATTTTGAAATAACTCAGTATTTTGACCACTCTCGATCATTATTATTCATTTATTCGTTTGCTAGAAATTAGAACTGAATTTAGAAATAGTTTTGAAACAAATCTTTGCGCTTAACAAACGAAATTAATTATTTATAGACTAATTGATGTCTGAGCGTAAAGGTTTCCCTATCCAAGAGCGAAAGTGATCCATTATCTCTCATTCTCACGCAGTAGATGCTCTGTTTAACAGTTTTCTGTTAAAAAACTGTCAACTGTTAACTGTTTGCTTGTGAAATGCTCTGTTTTTTCCACTTAGACTTACTTTGCGTCCTGTAAATAGCGAATGCGCTCTTGGCGCGACGCAGCTGACTCTTAAAGGGAATGGGAGATGAGACTCTAATTGGTTTATTCTCAAAACACACCTATAACTCATTGGGAAAATAAACTCAACCCTTTTAGACCATGCGCCTTGGCGCAAGGCAGATTTCCCGTCCTTAAATTAGCAAAAACGCGTCCTGACACGCCCTGAAAGCATTTGCCCCCTGCGTTTTGCGCTCTGCGCATGGACCGTCAAAATAGAGCCCTAAGTCTTTAAAATAAACAACATTATCAAAACAGATACAAGTAGTCACGACTAATCGTTAAACTAACTACCCAGTACTAGTAGGTTTTCTTTAGCTTGTCCTTACAAGCTACACGCTGTTAAAAGCTATTAAAGTTATTACTAATAACTAGGCCCACACGGAATCTGCACACGCAGAAATCTGCAGAGTTTTAGCAAATCATCGAGTCGATTTATTTATGCGAGTAAATTTATATTTATTCAGTTTTTTTATTATTAATTTCAGTAATATTATTGAGTAATATGAAAATGTTCACATGATTTATTTAAAATTCTCTGCAGAAATAGCAAAACATGTCAACAGATTCTGTCTGGCCCTACTAATATACTAATACTACTAATCTAATTGTAATGCAGTAATGTGCACCTTTTATAAAGTTGCTTTGAAGCAATAATTATAGTGAAAAGTGCTATACAAATAAGCTTGAATTGAATTACCAGCACTCTGAGGGAGGAGGTGTGAATGTGCCGGTTGATTTCATCCACCCACTGATGACAAATTGAGCTGGGTGAGATGATAAGAGTCGCTCCAGTGGACACTGGTGTCATGGCCACCAGACAGTGAGGACAATAAAATGGCGTCGTTTCCAGATTCTCCTCCTTATAGTTGACACACTCGGCATGCTGCCATAACAGACAGTTCAGACACTGAACCCGGGGCTTATAGTCCACCAGGCCCAGCTCTCCACAGATGCACTCAAAGCGGTAGTCTGGAGTATTAAACGGGACCACAGACGCTCTGGTTGGCGTTTCGACTTCAGGTTTTGAGGTTTGCATAAGATCTGGTTTGTTAGATTCAATATGGACGTCTTCTGTTATTTGCAGTTGGGGTTTGTCGGGTATTTCTTTATCATCTGTTATGTCTACAGGTTTTTTCTGCAGGGGATTTTCTGGGTCCAGAAGTGAATCAGGATCAGATTTCAGCTCTTCTGTGAGAAGAGGAGGATTCATACTGTCTTCCGATGCTGAATCTGATGCTGTTGTTGTATAGGAGGTCAGTGAGGAATCTTTATCCGGAGCAGAAACTCGACGAGATGTTCTCCTGGGAGCGGGCTGGTCAGCAGACTTCTGGAAAAATAGAAAGAAATGCATCAAAAAAGTGATTGATGTAGTTTTTTATTTGAGAAAATGGTTGCTGCAGAATAAAATTGCCAAAAAACAGAACATAGTGCAAAAATGTGCATGCAACAATTAACATATTTAAAGCCTGACTAGTTTTATTTCTAAAATTGTTACAACAAAAACAGACTTTCACAGAAAAAGGTACAAAAAAGTGTAAAACGACATAAAAATATTACACCAAATCAATAAATCTACTAAAATAAACTAAATATTGTATTTTATAAGTAAATATATAACTAACTATATAATTAAAATATATAACTAACTTATTTTATTATCAAAGTACAAAAATGTACTAGAAAATAGGGCCACACGGTGGCTCAGTGGTTAGCACTGTTGCTTCACAGCAAGAAGGTCGCTGGTTCAAGCCCTGAATGAGCCCTTTGGTATTTCTGTGTGCAGTTTGCATGTTCTCCCCATGTTGGCGTGAGTGTGGATGAGTATGTATGGATGTTTTCCAGTACTGGGTTGCAGCTGGAAGGGCATCCGCTGTGTAAAACAAAAGCTGGATAAGTTGGCGGTTTATTACGTTGTGGCGACCCCTAAGCTGGATAAGTTGGCTGTTTATTACAATACGTTGTGGCGACCCCTGATTAATAAAGGGACTAAGCTAAAGAAAAATTTAAATATGTAGAAAGTATAGTTCCTTGAATGTAAAATAAAGTTAGTTTTCGGAGTCTTGCTTTAAAAAAAAAAAAAGTTTTAACTTTTCATTTTCTATATGTAGAAATTACATTTTTTTATAACCCTAGTAATACATAATATAAGCTTTAAGAAACTACTGTATATGGAAGTCAATGAATTGTAAATGGTGTAAAATGAAAAAAGAACAGATAGAAAATAAAAAATTTTTAAAAAACTATTTATTTTATTTTATATATGTACTAACTGGAAAATATAGTCCCTTGAATATAAAATAAAATTAGGCCTTGAAAACCTGCTTTTAAAATTTAAAATAGATTAAGTATTTTAAATTACGTAATTATACATAATATATAATAATAATGAAATTATTAAGGTAAAATGATAACTTTTCATTTTCTATATGTAGAAATTACATTTATTTTATAACCTTAATATAACATGATATAAGCTTTATGATGCTATATGGAAGAGTTAATGAATTGGAAATGGCTTGTGTATTAAAAATTTACCAAATTTAGTAGTTTTGTGTACAATTCTGCTTTGTGCACATTTGTAATAACATTATTTGTTTAATTTCTGCTTAATAGTAATAATAATAATAATAATAATATTGCATACAGTTGAAGTCAAAATTATTCGCCCACCTGTTTTTTATTTACAATTATTCCCCAAATAATGTTGAATAGAGCAAGGAATTTTTCTAAGTATTTCCTATAATATTTTTTCTTTCTTGAGAAAGTCTTATTTGTTTCATTTCGGCTAGAATAAAAGCAGTTTTTTTTTTTTTTTTACTATTTTAAGGTCAATATTATTAGCCCATTTAACCAATAATTTTTTTCGTTTGGCTACAAAACAAAACATCGTCATACAATAACTTGCCTAATTACCTCAACTTGCTTAATTAACCTAGTTACGCCTTTAAATGTCATTTTAAGCTATATAGAAGTGTCTTGAAAAATATCTAGTAAAATATTATGTGCTGTCATCATGGCAAAAATAAAATAAATCAGTTATGTCTGCCCCAATAACCTAAAGTTGTTAGTGAGTCGACACATAGCACCCATGTGCTCTTGGCGACCCGAGTTCGATTCCCGGCTCGAGGTCCTTTACCGATCTTTTCACTATCTCTGCTCCCCACACTTTCCTGTCTGTACATCTCCACTGTCCTATCAATAAAGGTGAGAACCCCTAGAAAATTATACTAAAATAAATAAATAAATCAGTTATTAGAAATGTTTTAAAATGTTTTAAATGTTTCACTTTTATGTTTAGAAATGTGTTGAACAAAATCTTCTCTCTGTTAAATATAAATTGGGGAAAAATGTATACAGGGGGTCTGATAATTCAGGAGGGCTAATAACTCTGACTTCAACTGTATTTTTTTTAAATGCTATACATGTTAATACAAAATAATTATCTGTAGGGGAAAGAAATATACATACAGTTCGTGCAGTGACAGGCTTCTTCTTCTTCTCTTTGTAGTTCTTCCCCAGTTTGAAGGATCCCGCTAAGCCTCGTCCTTTGATCTGCTCCACAATGTTCTCGCTAATGAGCTTGGTCAGGATTTTCTTGATGTGGTTGCGGTTCTTCAGGGTGTCGTACTTGTACATGGTCCGCAGATAAGCAAAAATTGCATTAATCGATGCTCCTTTTCCAACCTTCATTTCCTTAATAGCAGTTAACAGCATCTCACGAACAGCTGAAGAGAGAGGGAGTGCATTCAATAGCTTCCTTATTATGTATTCACTATTTATTCGTGCTAAAAGATGCGTTTTTATCGTGGCTGTAAAATATATTGTTTGAGTTCAGATTATTAAAGTAGACATATTATGCAAAAATGACTCTTATAAGGGGTTTAAACACAGTTGTGTGGTAGCAGTGTGTGAATATAACCAGCTTCTAATGGTAAAAAATGCAAGTTTAATATTTATAATCACACTTGATAAAAACAGTCTGCAGAAACACTTTGATTGACATTCTGTCTTTGTACGTGTACCCCTTTGTAATGATAATCTCTTCCTCATATGCATAAGATGATAGTCTTTTAAATCTGCCACTATGTTGACACAGGCATTTGTAGCTCCACCCTCTTTTGAAAAAAAAACACCATCTCATTTGAATGTAAAGCAACAGTCACCGAAATGGCACAATTAGGATCAAAGCCTTAAAGAGGCAGATTCAAAGAGCATACATTCATTTTTTCATGGTGGGGCGCCACGCCAAAATTCATCCCGCCACAGCTACATTACAAGTTCTCACTCAAAACATAATATTTTTAATAGCGGGTAATAATTGCACTAAAACGTATTAAAGGGTAGTGAATTATAACAGCACAAACTTTTCTGTAATCGTAGTAGTGCTGTGCATCATTTGTTTAGACCTTTAAGGCTGGCTGGCTGGCTGGCTGGCTGGCTGGCTGGCTGACTGGCTAACTGACAGACAGGTGTGTGATGCGAGAGGCCAGCAAACACGACGTATACCTGTTTCATTTTACTTTAGGATGCATTAATACCTCTTTGTAGGTATTGAAGACATTTATAAATATTCCTAGCAAATCTAATAAATGCTGGAGACATATTCGTTACATAAATGCATTAAATCGCACTTCAGCAGCGTTTATTTGAGACTGCACAAGATCTGCACGCTCTTGAAGCGGCTTATATTTGAGGGGATGTGCAAGAAGTTTTAAGCACGAGCAGAGGAAATCTGCACACAAGCAAAGAGATCTGAAAGCTTGTGGGCTATTACATAAATGCGATTTCGACTTCTAATACGGTGCTCACGACATTTGTCATTTGAAATAACGCCACAGGTAGTTGGTAGATCTGTGTAAAAAAAAAAAAAGGGAAGAATTATAAAACATTTTCTGTGAGGTATTTGGAGCTGAAACTTCACACTCTACACACTCTAGGGACATCAGAGACTTATTTTACATCTTGTAAAAAGCTGCATAATATGTCCACTTTAAAGCATAACCTAATCTAATAGGTTCTAATAGTGTGAAATAATTTAATTTAAATGTGTTTTAAGCCCTGTAACTGTAAGTTTTCAAGCAAATTTAAACTAATTGGGCACAAGAAGTAATAAAGTTTGACACTTTAACAAATATTAATTGTGTTTAATTATTTATACAACAGAGTATGCAGTGTTATTTTACATTGATGACTGCATTTCTGAAGCTCAATGCTGTTACACTCCACTAAACACCATAAAGCGTTGTTTATTTAATTTTTATCCTTGTATTGTTTTCATCTGTGCTTTATTATTATTATTATTTTTTATAATTTTGTACAATTTATGAATTTATATAAAAATATTTACATGAATTTGAATCGTTCAAACCACTTCAGCAGATGGTCTAGGACGAACACCAGTTGAAACCAGACAAATCTAAAAATATCTGATTGTAAAAACTACATAAGTCAATTTTAAGCAACGTAAATGTAAAATAAAAGTCTGTAAAAGGTTTTCATTTTAATGTACTTGTAAGGCCCGTGACTAAGATTTCAAGCTAATTTAAACTATTTGGGCATATGAAGTGATAAAGCGTGCCACTTTATCAAAGATTAATTGTGTTTAATTATTTATACAATTAATAATTTTGTAAATTTTATGCAGATGCACTCTCAAAATGCAGTCCCAAAACTTATGAAATCATCCCAAAATCATATTATGAATTCTTTCCAACTACACTATAAAAATGTCCTTATTTTGTTATTTGCAAGTCTTTTCTGCTTATTTACGGTTGTGAATTGCATTATGGGATGTTGATCTTTGTTGACTGATGTTGACTTTTGATGCTAAAAATTCAACTCTACAGTTTAACAAAGTGACTTTTGTTGACATTTTAGTAGTTTTAAATAATATAATGTATAAAAAAATTATATAGAGAGAAATAAGTCTGTAAAATAACAGAAAATGTTCTGGCATTTTTTACAAGGTTTTTGTAGATTAACATACACTATAAAATGTTTATAAAAGTCACTTTTTTTGATCTTTAAAAGTTGTTGGAAGAAAGATCAAGATTCCATAATGCAATTCAAAGGCAGAAAAAAAAAATGAATTACAAAATACGAAAAAACTGAATTTACGATTTTTTTTTTTACTGTGTAGAGTTACTCAAGTCATCTGGTGAAGTTATATTCACATGGTAATATACATTATATAGCAGAAAAACAAAATATCACAACGTCAGTTTTTTCTAATATCATGCAGCCCTAGTTTTAACATTTACTCATTTAGCTGACTGATGCTTTTTCCAACTAATGACAAATAATCTTAAAAATATAGCATTAATGTTCTCCAATTCAATTAGTATCTATTAAAGACATGCCAATAACCTTAAAATGGAGAGGAACCAATCAGGACTTTGATATAGAAGCCGGTTCTGTCTGGTCAAATAATGTTTGGTAGATTTAACCATTTTTACCTGGATATATGATCTTCTCTTTGGGTCTCGGCTCATGCTTTATGATTCTTTGTCTCTCTAATGGTGGAGGAGGAACAAAGTAATTCACAGACCGACCCTGCGGAGAACAGAGACACAAGAGTAAAACTGTATTTAGAGTACGAGTAAAAGGTGCAATTTCTAGAAAGTTTAAAACAGTAAATTATTGTCTCAAATATATTTTTGTAAACATTTTTAGCGCGAAATATGTCAGAAAATTACATTGAGTGAAAAGATAAAATCTATCATGCATGTCATTTGAATTCTGACCCCCACATGAAAATAATAATAATAAAGGCAAATAATATTAAACTGTAATTAAATAAACAACAAATAATAATAATAATAATAATAATGACATAAAATACAAAATTATATTACGTCTCTAGCCTTTAATCAGTAAGTATGGTTATGCTTTACACTATAGGTTATATTTGTTGTTTTCATTAGTTTAGGGATAGTTCACTCAAAACAAAAAATTCTGTCATCATTTATAGTATTATCTACAGTTCAAGTAAATAGTTACAGGGTTTCAGCTTTCTTCAAAGTATCTTCTTTTGTGTTCAACATAATAAAGAAGCATATAAAGGTTTGTAACCACTTGAAGGTGAGTAAATAGTGAGTTACTTTAAATTTCTGGGTGAACAATCCCTTTAACATGAACAAACAAAGAAAATCACGTCTAAAGCTTTTTAATTTAAAATATTTATTAATACTTAAATTACAATGAATTAATTAAAAACTATATAAAAACATCAGTTACATACATAATAAATGAGCAGGCATGAAAATGCTAAATTGCATTTTTTATTATTAACAAATGCAGAGCTTTGACTATTTTTATTATTATTTGCAAATAATAAACACAAAAAATTATAAAAACTAAATAACCAAGATGTGTATATATATAAAAAAATGGGAAAAAAGGGCCTCTCAAATAATGAAAAAACAAAAATGTACAGAGGGACTTAATTTAGATTGGATAGTTTTTTCATTTTTAATGGGTTATATGCACAGCAAGTGTTTTAAAGCCTGTTAACTTCTGGTAAACAGTAAATTTCAGTCATTTTAATTCTTATAAAGTTCATAAGGTAATTTAATGAAAGTTTAATCAGTTAAATTGACTTTTTTAGACTTTAATAATCAGTAAAATATACATTCATTAAGTTGTACAAGCGTAAAATAAGATTAAAAACCATTAAATAGCATGCGTCACCAGGGGAGCACTGAAGCTCACATTAAAAATACTGTGGTAAAATAAAAGTCCACATTTTAAAGACATGGCACAGAAAATTTTTATTTAATGCAGTGTTTTTTTGTCCGGTCTGAGACCCACTTTATATTTTGTCTGTCTTATCAGGCAGTGAAGATCACAGATTTTTAAAGAAAGCAGATCTTAAATGCTTAAGCTACTAAAAATCAAAAGTTCCTGTTCATTACAATATGCCTCAAATAAAATGAAACATATTTCTAAAAATAATAATTGTACAGGCAGTCGTAAACATACCACAGGTAAAGTGAGGACCCCGTGCTCCAGGTTTTGCCGAGTGTTACACAGAATCAGAGCCAGTACTTCCACAGTTTTCCCAAGTCCCATCTCATCAGCAAGGATCCCGCCGGGCCAGTCCACTCCAGCCAGAGGAAACTCTCGAATCAGGCTGTGATCGAGGCCAAGACAATTAGGGACTGATTACACCTGGTCACTTTATGCATTGTTTTCTGATTGGATAGCAGTCTGATTGTGAAAAGAACAGGTGTGAAAGCCCTATCTGAGATATGAATTTGATCGCTTAAACCACTTCAGGTCTAGGACGAACTCCAGTTGAAACTGGACAAATCTAAAAGCATCTGACTGTTGAAAATATATTTGTTAATTTTAAGCATCCCAAAATGTAAATAAAAAACAAACATGTGAGAGTGTGTTATAGACTACTCAGCTTATTCTTAGACCTTTTTGGAATCTGTTTGGCTCGAAACTTCCAGTTTCATTCACTTTTATTGATATTTAGACGTTAAAAACAGCTCGTTTTGCTGCTTTGACCGTTTTCTGTCGTTTATTTTTAATAATCATTTCTCCCATAGGCGACTAAAGTTTTAAAATAATCACAGAAATATGGCACAGTCAGATATAAGATTGCTAATATGAAACAGCAACACCACAGATGATATGTTTTTTTGCTTTAATTATATTTTTTCCATTTCTTTCTATTTTTGACCAGTCATTAAATGGTAAATTCATTTCAAATGGCAGCTTTTATCAACAGACACACATCACGCATAAGTGTAGCGTATCTCCGTGAATGATGAGGAAAAAATAACAGAAATATATAGTGTTTTGATCATTTAGAAAGGCAGAGTGTTTTGTTCTGGCAGAGTAGCTTCTATAAGTTAATGTAAAGCATTTACAGTTTTCAATAATGTCTTGCACGTAACTGTATGACAAAAACAGATGTTTTAGCCTACACTGACAGTAATTGCAGAGTTTGTTTTGTGCGAAAAACAAATGAAGCACAAAGCCTCCTATAGCCTACATAAAACCATGTGTATGCCGAGTAAGATAAAGTGGAAGTCAAAATAATTAGTCCTCCAGTGAAGTTTTCTTTATCAAATTTTTCCCAAGTGATGTTTAACAGAGCAAGGAAATTTTCACAGTATTTCCTATATTTTTTCTTTTAAGAGAAAATCTTAATTCTGTTTGTTTGGCTTAATTTTTTAATTGTTTTTTGACATTTTTAAAAGCAATTTTTAGGGTTCGTATTATTATCCCATTTTAGAAATTATTTTATTTGATTGTCTACAGAACAAACCACTGTTATCTAATAACTTTCCTAATTATCCATAACATATTAACCTGGTTAAAGTCTTTAAATTGCACTTTAAGTTGAATACTAGTATCTTAAATAGTATTTAAATAGTATGCACTATAACTTTTTTTAAATTTACTTAAATAGAAAAAAAAGTATGCACCTTCACCATGGCAAAGACAAAAAATTGTAGAAATTAAGTTTTTTAAATGATTATGTTTTAACGTGTGTTGAAAAAACTACAACACTTGAACTGTTTTTAAAAGAATTAACATTTCACATTAGGACTAATAATTTTGACTTCCACTGTAAATAGCTTATGTTTATGTAAAAAATAACATTTTATAAAAATGTGGTGCATCTGATGCTTAACCTAGTTCATTGGTCTCAGACTGGATTCCTGGAGGGCCGCAGCTCTGCACAGGTTTGCTCTAACCCCAATCAAACACAGCTGATCCTACTAATCAAGGGCTGTTTGTCAATATGCGTTCTTCAGCGATCTTCCATCCTCCTGTTCTCTTGTAACATCATCAACTGCCAAAGTTCAGTTCCAATACTCAAGACTGCAAGAACGAAGGACACGTGAAAGCTCCCGGATGTGTTCTTGACATCGAGGATGCATGGATGCAGACTTCAGTACCAAACTCGCTCTGGTAGTCCCAGAAGTCTTTGCGACTTGAGGTGGAAAGCGCAGCATTTTATATAGGTTTATTATTAAAAGTTCAGAGATGGAACTTATTTGCCTCTTACATTTATAAATATATAAGTTTATATTCACCCAAATGAAATGGTGAATATAAACATCACTATGAAAATCTTAATAAAGGCATGAACACATTAAGGGTGTTTACTTGCTGAAAATCTTATTAAAATCTTTTTATTTGTATTGTGCAATGTATATTTGTAAAGTCTTTATGCATAGTATATATTGTGAAAAGGGGAAAAGCAATAAATCATTGTATGAATGCTGTAATGTTTAAATAATTTTTGCTTAAAGATGCGTGAGGGTCATGTGACCATCAGGAAAAACACAGCATCTCATTCCTCACAAGACATGTGCAGATTCTGTGTGGGCCTACATATGACCTAGTTAAATTTGCATATAGCACATGACCTAATGATCAGATTTATATCCATTTAGCAGAGACACATTTATGTGGGCAAATGTAAATGGAACCATTTTCACAAATCAGAAAGCTATGCATTGCACACTGTAAAAAATATCCATAAATTGGCAGTTTTCTATATTTTGTGATTCATGTTTTTATTTTTGCTTTTGTTTAATTATGCTTTTGAATTGCATTATGGGACTTTGATCTTTCTTTGACAACTTTTAAAGTTTAAAAGTGGAAAAAAGGTGACTTTTATGAACATTTTTAATAGTTTAAAGTGATATATTGTCTGGGTTGGTGTTGTATATTACACTTCAAAACTTTGCAATAAACTGCCAGCACATTTTCTGTTATTTTACAGACTTGTTTCTCTATAGAATTTTTTATACATTATTTAAAACTACTAAAGTGTCAGTAAAAGTCACTTTGTTAAACTGTAGAGTTGAATTTTCAACATCAAAAGTCGACAGAACAGAGTGCAACATCCCATAATGCAATTCACAACCATAAACAGAAAACACTTGTGAATCACAGAATACAGAAACTGTTAATTAACAGAGATTTTTTACAGTGTAATAAGAAAAAAAACGCATTAAGTGACCAGATGTAAGAAAATGATGTTTGTATTTTATTAATAGGGCTGCACAATATTGGAAACAAATGACATTGCAATATTTAATTTTTTCGCGATATTGAGTGTTATTTCACCAGGGGCCTCATGTATTAAAGCTGCGTACACGCAAAAACATTGCGTACGCCAGATTTCACGCTCATGTTTGGATTTACTAACAATGAAATGAACGTGAGAATGTGCGTTGGTCCACGACAACTTCATGTATGGCGCACATGTATTTCTTTTGTGTGTTTGTTTTATTTCCTTTGGCGACTCTTAGAGGCAATTGTGTTAAATTGCACACTACAAAAGTATCTACGAGCCGTGCAATGGCAGCTTTATGGGACGGGATCATCCGCATGTCTAGCAGGTATATAAGGTTTCCATAACATGCAGTTGAACAGCCAAAAATTAAAGCGCAATTTTCAGCAATTGCCAGTTTTCCCAATGTAATCGGAGCGATCGACTGCATGCACATTGCTCTAAAGGTGCCATCTGAAGACGAATTTGCATATGTGAATTGGAAACATTTCCATTCAATAAATGTGCAAATAATATGTGATGCTCAAATGCGTTTAACATAATACACACACTTATTAATGATTCCTACTTGTCTTCCTTGTGATGAAGAGTAGGCAAATACTGATATGTAGAGGCGGAAAGAAGAATGAATTCATCAGACTGGATTCGAACCGGGTTCATGCTTGATCGTGTCAAAACATGTTGCCATGCGCTTTACGAGCTACGCCACTCACGCTGCTATTTTCCGCTCTCTTTAGTTATGTTGCCTCTGTCAATCAAGCAGTGATGGGCGGGAATCTGTCAACTAGCATATTAAAAACAGGGTTTGCTATTTGCACTTAGTCTAAATAGACACTACCAAATTTTACACCTTTACATCGGACCATTTCTTTTTTAAATCACTCACAGTGCAATGTTCAGACCCCACTGCGTTAACCACGTCAGCTAAACTCTCCCACTCTATTTTTTTTTCTTTTGTTATTAATTCCGGAGGACAAACTTGCAAATAACACTGTTTTTCTCTGGTCTACCTCCGAAAGGAGCACCTCTAATTCACATTCTGTTCAAAGTTTCTATTCCTGCTTGCTTATGCCATTGCTTTTTCATTTGGTTTTGCCAAAGTGAAGTCATTACCATTTTCATGGGGGAGAAGGCAGGGAGGGGTTTTGCGTTTTGTGCACGCGCACTCGGTTTCACGTTAATTTAGATGTACAAAGATAATATGCGTGGGATTCCACATACGCAGTTTTTAAACATCTGAATTTTTAACTGCGTACGCACTTTTACAGCTTTGTCCGTACACAATGCTTAAGTAGGAATTCAACGTAAGTCTTCGTACATGAGGCCCCAGATGACTAGAATAACTCTATTTGGAAAGAATTCATAATTTTACACTGATGATTATGTAAAGGACAGCATCTGCATAAAATATTACATTAATTCATTCACTTTCTTTTGGCTTAGTCTCTGACTATCAGGGATCGCCACAGCGGAATGAACCGCCTATGATAAACCAATCTGAAGTATCGATAAATACAGTATTGAGCAAGGATGCAAGTGAAATAAACCATGCTTTATGATTGTCTGGGAGCATAGCAATATTCAGGTACACAATCTGAATAATCAAATATAAAATAACACTGTATAGCTTTCATCGAATAAATACATAATCACAATTAATCTTTTTTAAAATCACAATCATTATAATATTTTGAGCCAAACCTTTCAGTAACTTTATGATTAAACTTTGCAATGACTTCACAAGGTTACAGTGTTTTCGATAAAATCTCTAACTATAATCTCGATTCGACATTGCTCTCTGCTACCGTCAGGCAGACGGTTCAGCAGCATCCGATCACGCAAAATTTCTTCCCTCAAACTATCAGGCTGATGAACACTTAACACACCTCACACAGACTCTTCCATACCCTCACTGCAGACCATCAATATGTAGCATGCACTGCACTTTAACCAATCCATACTTGAAACAATACTGCCTACAACTATGTGGACACATTTACATTGTCCTGTTTTTTTGGAAGTACGCTGTTGTATTTTGCACTGTCTGTATTTTGCACTGTCATTTTATTTGCACTGTCTGTATGTTGCACTGTCGTTGTATTTGCATTTGTATTAATCTGTATTTTGTATGGTCTGGAGCCAGCACCTAAACTTTTCACTCATCATAGCACACGTGCTGCTGATGAAGTGACAATAAAAGTGATTTAATTTGATTTGAGATCCTAAAATGTGTTTATTGCGGATAAACAGATTGCAATATCAGTGCTGAAACTATATATTGTGCAGCCCTAATTATTAAATTGTTGTTTGATGCACATCTGTTTCAACTAGTTTAACTACATTCTCCTTAAAATAAAAAAATAGAGTCCTACCATCCAGTGTAGGGATTGTAAAAGAGTTTTTTCCCGCAAATCGTGACCATTTCCCTCCAAAGAAAATGCAACCTTTGCTCTGCACATGGAATACAAACATTGTAGATCAGCACTGAACTCTTTCCATACAGCAAAAGTATAAAGATAAAGATAAAGATTTGATCTGGACCTGGAGAGCTGCTGCTTTTGTATTTCTCCCTCCTTAGCATCCAGTTGACGGCCTGACTCTGGTAGGGTCTCAGGATGGGGATGAGAGCCGGGTGCTGGACGTGGAAGCTCTGCTCGGCTGCTTCGGTCTGGTGGAGGTGTCTGACGTGATCGTACAGCTCCTCCACGTTCTGACGCTCCAGATCAGTGTCACACGCCTCCTCTTCATTCTCCATCACCTCTGAAATTGAGCAGACCATCAGAAATCACAAGTCAATCGTGCTAGATGATCATTTGAAGTTGAGGATGATGCACTGAATTTGAATCAAATGTTGCATAAGTTTATAAAAAAGAATCATACATTTTAGTATTCTGCTTTGGTCTTAGCAACTGTGGAGAAAATATTAATTGTTACTAAACCCATGATTCTTATGAAATATTGTGTTTCTAACTCAAGATGTGGTTCCAGGTTCTTAACATGACATATTTCAGGATACCCCCGGGATCCTCCAAATGAAATTCAAGACCTTTTTAATATCATTTCAAATGAAATTCAATGCCAACTTCGAACCCATTCCGACAGAAGTATAAGGAGAAAATGTAAAAATGTAAAATCTGTATAAATTTTGAACCCTAGAAAATAATTATGTACAATGACTACTTGAAATGAATAAAACATTTGGTCCCACTTTATATTAAGTGTCATTAACTACTATGTACTTACATCAAAAAATAAAATACAATGTACTTACTGTGTTTATAATGTATGTGAGAACAATTGTGGTGCTTTTGAGTTGGGATAGAGGTTGGGTTATGGGCAGGTTTGGTGGTATGGGTAGGTTTAAGGGTAGGTTAAGGTGTAAGGGATGGTCAACAATGTATTTACAAATGTAATTACAAAAGTTAATTACAGATGTAATTACATACATGTATTTAATCAAGCATAAGTACACAGTAATTCCTATGTAAGTACATATTAGTTGAGGCCATTTAATATAAAGTGGGACCAAACATTTTATTAAGATGTCAGTTATATTTAATACATACGCAACAGGCTTTTAAGACCCCGCGGATACGCTGTATATGATGTATTTTATGTAATTTCTTTTTCTTGTGTTCAATGTAACCTTGAAGAACTGATATAAGCAGGAGAAAGCCCTCCATCCTTGCCACACTCAGCAGTGAACTGTGTTTCTGTATGACTGTCTGACTCTCTTGCAAGAGAATAAAATCATCTTTAAATATAATTGGACATGTTTGTCTCTTACTCAGTGATGAATTTTCCAAATTGCCACAACAGCAACATAATTATTGCAAACAAACAGTGCAAAGTTACATCATTTGTATGTTTTTGATGCTTTAGACAACAGACCCTTATCAAAAATGATCTATATATCTTCTAGCATACATAATCAAATAACTGATGAAAAATGTGTCTAAAATATTATTTGAAAATGTATATGAAATTAAAGACCTACATTGTGTGAAATAATGCTATTTTCTAATATTTTAGATATTATTAATGAGAAACTTGTTTAATAATAATTCTAATGTTTGAAGTTAATAGTACTATAATGTTTATATTTACAGTTGCAATCAGAATTATTCAACCCCCTTTGAATTTTAAAAAAAAAATAGATTTCCCAAATGATGTTTAACAGAGCAAGGAAATTTTCACAGTATGTCTGATAATTTTTTTTCTTCTGGAGAAAGTCTTATTTGTTTTATTTCAGCAAGAATAAAAGCAGTTTTTAATAAAAAAAATAACATTTTAAGGTCAAAATTATTAGCCCCTTCGATAGTCTACAGAACAAACCATCGTTAAACAATAACTTGCCTAATTACCCTAACCTGCCTAGTTAAACTAATTAACCTAGTTAAGCATTTAAATGTCACATTACGCTGTCTAAAGGTGTCTTGAAAAATATCTAGTCAAATATTATTTAATGTCATCATGACAAAGATAAAATAAATCAGTTATTAAAAAATGAGTTATTAAAACTATTATGTTGAGAAATGTGTTGAAAATCTTCTCTTCATTAAACAGAAATTGGGGAAAAAAACAGGGGGGCTAATAATTCAGGGGGTTGAATAATTCTGATTGCAACTGTACTTAATCTTGAAATATGCTTGAGTATACTTTAAAATATATTTAAAATATATTTTAAGGTATACTTTTACTTAAAATATTATTTGCTTTAATTTCTTTGTTATTATTAATTTGTTCATTTAAATCTTTAATTCTTGATTAAACTTTTTTGTTTTTCTCTAAAAAAAATCCTTTATAAATATATAAGGCAAAATATGATTTGCTTTAATTTCTTTGTTATTATTCATTTGTTCATTTAAATCTTTACTTATTGATTAAACTTTGTTTTTCTTGAAGCAAATGTTTTACTTTATTTTTGCTTCAAGAAAAAAAATGTTTTACTTTATAAACGTAAGGCAAAATATGATTTGCTTTAATTTCCTTATTATTATTAATTTGTTCATTAAAATCTTTAATTTTTGATTTAACATTTTTATTTGTTTTTCTCCAAGCATTTTTTACTTCCTAAGCATACAAGACAAAATTTGGTTTGCTTTACTTTTAGTTATTATTAATTTGTTCATTTAAATCTTTAATTATTGATTTAACTTACATTTATTATTAAAGTAAAAATCTGCTTCGAGAAAAAAAAAGTTAAATTAAATCAATAATTAGACATTTAAATCAGCAAATTAACAATAACAAAACAATCAAAGAAAATCATATTTTGATTAAGTCAATAAACATATTACAGTACTATTAATATTTTTTAGATTTCTCCAAGCATTTTATTAATCCAAGAGCAGCTCCTCCTCCAGATACAAGTGTATTACTGTAATTGTGTTCATTGATTGTTTTACAAAATAATTAATAATATTATTTTGATGTGACCACAACTAACGGTATGTTAAAATTAAAATATGCATGCAAATAGTTATCAATCAAAGATTACCAGGGATGATGAAGTCGTAAAACAATTCCATTAATTTCTGCAGAAGCTGACTGGCTTTTTTAATCCGTCCGTTTCCTTCACTGAGGAATTCCGGTCTGCCCAATCCTGATTCAATAAGAAAAACTTTCAGCTGTTCCAAAAAAAAAAAAAAACAAAGAAATAAGAGAAAATAGGGATTTGTTAAAGGGATAGTTCACCCAAAAAAGTAAATTCTGCCATCATATATTTTTCCTTTACATGATCCATTTGACTCACGGTCTTTTCTTGAACACAAAAAAGGTTATTACTATGAAAATCAATGGTTACTAGTGTCCAACATTCTTCAAATTATCTTCTTTTAATAACAAAGTAACAAAGCTGCTTAATTCTGATGATCTAAAAATACACACCTTCACCGGCACACCTCCTGATGCATGACACAATTTAATGACCTTCCTCTTCTGCAGCCAATCCAGATCCTCCAACAACAGTCCACCAAGTGAACATGCGACAGGCACCGAACAGAGCGGATCACTTCTACCCCTCCCATCCTCCATCTCAAGAGTGTTCAGAGTCATGCTCAGTGTGTCTCCTGTTTGCTGCAGGCAGAATGAACCATCTGCAACCTCAATAGGAATCTTTGGATGCAAGTTAAACTCTCCGATCAGTGCGTTCCACCCTTGATCCAGAACAGAAATTGGCATTACATTCAGTTCAATGGTGTCTGGAGGAGAATCCTGTGTGGAGCAGCTTGGACGCTCTTCTGATGGTTCTTCTTCTGTGCCTGCAGAAGATATAAAACCTTGCTCAAGCACTGGTACAGGCAGACAGCTGTCAGACGGTGCTGGGACGGACTCCAGAATGTCTTCACAAGCTCCTTCATTCTTGCGGTCTTCATGCATATTCCAGTCCAGTCTCCTCTTGGCGTCCTCATCCACGCGCACTGGCGGCGCACGTTTCCTCCTGCTGCTCATGGTGGAAGCCTGAGGAGATACAATGAAACAAAGCTTCATTAGTAAGACGCACACTATTTAGCTATCATTTTGAAGTAAAGGGATAGTTCGTCCAAATATGTAAATTCTGTCATTATTTACTAATGGTTAGAAAGCTGGACTTGTAATCAAAAGGTTGCAGGTTCAAATCCCAGTACTGGTAGAAATTGAAGATGAAAGAAATACACTCAATCTTTCTTTGATACCCAGATGAAGTGCCCCTGATTTAATGCCCTAATTTAGGGAGTTAGAAGCAATAGCTGCCCACTGCTTTGGGTGTATTCTCACTGTGTTTGTTGGATGCGTGTGTGCTCTCATTCTTCACTCAAAATGTGTGTGTTTACTTTATATATATATATATATATATATATATATATATATATATATATATATATATATATATATATATATATATATATATATATATATATATATATTAGGGATGTAACGGTATTGTAAATACCGTCATACCGCAATATTAATTTTTTTCGATATTACCGAAGTCGCATGACTCGGTAAAACTATAGGTCTTCTGAGAAAATTTGCTCAGGCGAATGAAGCGAACGGGAGGTAGCTTAAACTACAATTCCCATCAGCCCATGCTTGACCATCATCCCTTGCGGTCTGTTGTCGCTACAGATCCAGTAATGCGGAAATGGAGTGTGCTGCTAGAAGCGGGGATGAAAAAGAGCTGGAAAACACTAAAGCGGGTGTTGTCGCCGTGCGCGTACTGAATAGCGGTGTTGTCGTGCGAGTTCTTATCAGCTGTGTTGTCGCGCGCGTACTGAATAGCGGTGTTGTCGCGCGAGTTCTTATCAGCAGTGTTGTCGTGCGAGTTCTTATCAGCTGTGTTGTCGCGCGCGTACTTAATAGCTGTGTTGTCGCGCGAGTTCTTATCAGCCGTGTTGTCGCGCGAGTTCTTATCAGCTGTGTTGTCGCGCGCATACTGAATAGCGGTGTTGTCAGCACACTGTTCAGATTGATGCAGACATGAGACCTCTATCTTACTCATGGTTTGTCCTCTCAAGTGGGGGAAAGACAATGCACAACGTTACCCACTGCTGTCAACCTGGGCCAAGTCATATCTCTCTTGTCCCAGAAACCTCAGTCCCAAATGAGAGGGTTTTTTTTCTGTTGCAGGGGACATTGTAAATGCCCAGAGATACCAGAATAGAGAAAAATAGAGAATAAAGAGAATAATTAGCGTAGCTGCTGTTCATAGTGTATATAAGCAAGATGCAGAAGCCTGTGTCATTTTCCTGTAAATGATACAATAAATACCGTACTGTGACATTCATACCGAGGTATTACCGTACCGTGAAATTCTGATACCGTTACATCCCTAATATATATATATATATATATATATATATATATATATATATATATATATATATATATATTAGTTAAATGCATATTTGTCAAGGCTCTCGTTACTTCATGTTACACATTGAGTAACATTATTTTGACAATGCCAGTGTGTATTGTGTCTGTGTGTGTTGTATCCTCTATTATCTGTCTCTTTCTCTCTCTCCACATGAGCGGAGATCAGGTGCAGCTGTATAAAAGCATGCTGTTCTCTTCCCGTTCTCTTCCCAAGTTCTATTCCCGTTTCCCCTCACTGTTGTGTATGTGTAAGCTGATTGCTCCAAGTTCTCTGTGTGGCAGTGATATCTTTCTGTCTGAAAGCTTTTTCCAAAGTCATCTGGTTAGATACTCTGTTAAATACGGTACTATGACGGTTTTCTGCGTTAGCTGTGGCTAAATGTTTACTTACTGCTGAATGATCAAAGGGAAGGCCCTTTTTCTTTTGTCCCGTTTTGTCATGTTTAATGGATGGTTATGGAGGGTAGAATTGTATGTTTTATTTACGGAACTTTAATTTCCGTTTAGGTAAGAAATTTAATATTAGGTAGCGTACCTTGTTTTGGCCTTTTTGTTCCCTGGTTCTGATACTGATATATTTGTTTAATAAATCTTTTACCCCTTTTGACAACTCCTGTGTTGTGTGTGTGCTTGGGGAGTAGGAACGGGGACTCTGAGTGACCTCTCCCCATACACTTCCTCTAGCATCTCTGAGGGTATTCCAAGGCATTCTTAGGCCAGCCGAGAGACATAGTGCCTCCAGCGTGTCCTAGGTATTCCATGAGGCTTCCTCCCGGTGGGACATGCCTGAAACACCTCCCTAGTTAGGCATCCGAGAGGGATGCCCGAGCCACCTCAGCAGATTTCCCTCAATGTGGAGGAGCAGTGGCTCTACTCCAAGCTCCTCCCGGGTGACAGAGCTCCTCACCCTATCTATGGGGTATATGCCGAAGCATGCTAATAGGACTTTTAATTTGCAAGTAACCTGGTTTAAGCGCTTCTGGCGAATTGAATGTCAATGCAAAATCCGGTGCGTTTAAGGTCTGTTTTTTTTTTTAAATCAGCGATCTCCACTAGCTGAGTGATATCCGATTTAAAGTGGGTCTCAGATTGTACAAGAAGCACTGCATTAAATTAAATTTCCCCCGCCATGTCTTTATAATATGAGCATTTATTTTACCCCAGTATATTCAATGGAGCTTCTGCGTTAGCCTGCCGATTCTGATGGGCGCGTGCGAGTAAACAGCTTTTTGTCTCGTTTTACGCTTGACCAACCAAATAAATGCTAAAGTTTATTTAACTGAATGTATTTTAATGACATTACAACATCGATGCTGTAAAAGGAACCGTATAAAATGAAAAAAAGTTCACAATAACAGGTCACCGGAAGTGTATCAGCATGGGAACAGCACTAGCTCGGCATATACCCTATTGGGTGAACTACCCCATTAGGGCTGATTCTACATAAATGAGAGACGAAATGTAACACACACACACACACACACACACACACAAACACACAAACACACAAACACACCCACACACTTACAGGTATGTAGCTAGCAGACTTGCACACATTTGTTATAAAATATATAAACATTTGAGACACATACACAAAAGTACAGATGTTGAAACAAGTCTTCTTTAAAAAATTATTTCTTCTTCAAAACAAAAGACTTTGTAGCTTTAATTGTATTCAGTGAAATACATGAACAATTTCCACAAGAAAAAATACTAGTAATTTGTAGTAAATACTTTAGTGTTTTGAAGCATACTAAAAAGCGTATAATACTTTATAATAACTGCATATTAAACTATTTACAACACTATGTTAATGAATGCTGCAGCATACTGTAATTTCACCTATAGTGAACTGATAAATTATAATAAGTACTGTACTTTTTATTATTAATTTCAAGAAACTGTATAATACAATTCATAATACAGTAAAAGAAACAGTTCTTTCACACAATATTCACATTAGATTGACAGGATAAAGAGCAAAACTAAAAAAGGAAAAAAAAATAATTAAAAGAAATTAAAAAAAGATAAAAAATGCAAGTAGCATGAAAGATCTCATCACACTTACCCAATAAGAAAGCACAATTTTTATTAGCAATTAATCTAAGTGATTTAATTAAATGTTCTATTTTACATAAGCAGTCTGTAAAAATAAGATTTTTTTAAGGAACCGCTGTTAAAATTTCCCAGAAAGTATACTACACTATACTGAACTACACTGTTTCAATTTACTATGATTTTTTTATGTGAAGCTGCTTTGACAAAAATCTACATTGTAAAAGCGCTATACAAATAAAGGTGAACTGAATTGAAAGTATAAGAAGTCATAGAGGTACAGTTGGTTTTATATTCGCACATTCGTTCATTTAGCAGTCTCCATATTGTTTACCATGTTACTTTGAATATTCGAATGGAATTAGCATGCAAGTATGACTTCTAAACAACATTAACAGTATCTAATTCACTGTGAACATTGTTGTACTTTGATAGTCATTTGCTGCTAATATGAATTCCCTATTTAGAATTAGTAAACATTACTTTTCTGAAATTAATTTATTAAAGAGAAAGTCTGAATAGCCGAATATAAAACCAACTTTACCTCTATAAAGAAGTCACAGTGGCTTCTAACGACTTGTTTTGGTTTTCAGAATGACAAATAACATCCTTAAGGTGCAAATTACCACTTATATTAATCTTAGAAAAGCAACATGAACTTAAATCATTCCACAAGTACTGTACTTTAGTTTATACTACAATAAACAGTGATGTATACTGTAGTGATATACCCTATAGTTGTCGAAAACGAAATACAGTATTAGATAATCTATTTACATTACTATAGTTGTTGTATTATGACCGCAACTCTAGAATTACCACAGCAGATTAATGTGAGTACTTTACTATAGTACGGTTCAAGAACACCATAGTGATTACTTTAAATTATAATAGATTATTTCATGTGGGTTGTGGTAAACGATTTACATTACGGCACTAAACTATTTACTTAGTAAATATACATTCCTCATAATTTTTGTCAAGAAGACAACTGACAATTGTTTCACGTATTGTAAGAGATGAAACACAACACAGCATCGATATGATACATATTTCATTCAGTCAGTCAAACTGTGCAGGATATCAATAAACCGTATCATGAGCAGTCGAACTGTACCTTTGTTCGCCTTTTGAACTCGTTCTTGTCAGCAGCAAACAAGTGCCATAAAATAACTTTTATAAGCTTCAAATCGTGCAGGACATTTTCATGCGTTTATCCGCCATATTTAAAATACCGGAAGCGACGTCAGTCTGAACCAAAACAAAGCCAAGGCACGTTAGTTTTTAAAAAACACTAGATGTCGCTAAACGTCCGTTTGCAGCCAACACATTCGACAGTTTTCGACGTGTTTCTCATAAATGTAAGTGGATATTTAGTCTTTTTGATGTTTTATAAATTTGCTTGGTCAAGTGAGACCGTCACCATAATATTTATGCAGATATTGATGTTTATAAAGTCAGAGGGGAGCCACGTTGAAAAGTTTACAAAGATAGTGTTTGTAGTAGCTAATAGTAATTGTTCATACAGATAATGTTTATTAGGGTCGAATAAACTACTGCTAATTGCTAATGCTATTCATTGCAAGAGTTTCTACTCTACATTAAAATAATCTTCCCAGATATGTTTACAGCAATAATCATTTGATGATAATTTTGCTAATTAAAATACTAATTATGGTGTTTCAATGATTGTAGTTTGTCAGCTAAGTAATTTTTCATACTGATAATGACGAAAAGTAATGTAATAAGCTGGTGATAATAAATAAAAAACAAACATTGAACTAAAACTTCAAACTTCTAATCTACATCAAATATTCTGTCAGACATGTTTACAACAATCATTTTATGATATATTAAATACTTTGACATTTACAATGCAAAAACAAAATACAAATTATCTTTGCCATTATATTTATGCAGATATTAAAATTTATAAACTCACAGGGGAGCCTTGTTGAAAAGTTTACAAACTTGGTGTTTGTATTAGCTAATGGTAATTGTTCATACTGATAATGTTTATGTGGGTCGAATAAACTAATGCTAATTGCTAATGCTGTTTATTGTAAGAGTTTTTACTCTCTATCAAATAATCTTAAACAAGTTAATAGCAATAATCATTTGATGGTAATAAAATAATTTAACAATCACAATGTCGAAACAAAATACTTATTATAGGGTTATAGTGATTGTAGTAACTTAGCTAAGTATTTTTTCATGCTGATAATGACGAAAAGGACAAACAATATATAAACAAACAAAAAGTAAACTTGAATTAAATGAAAGTGCTAATGCTATTTATTGTATTCAATCTAATATTCATCAAATAATCTTGTCAGACATGTTTACAACAATCATTTGATGAAATATTAAAATACTTTGACAATCACAATGTAACAAGAATTTCAGGTATTTAGGCTATATTTGAATAAATATATATATATATATATATATATATATCAATTAGTGACTTAGTGAATTCGTGGCTGTTTGGGGGATAATTTTATGAGGCCAAACTCTTTCTACTTTACTGTATGTTAAATCCTACCTAATCACTGTAGACTGATGGATGAACAAATACAATTAAAACCTTATGAATAAATCTGTTATCTTGTAAGATACTGCATGATCCGAATAAAGTATTATTTAATACATTTTTAAAGTTTTCATTACATTTTTGGCATGAAATCCAGACTGAATCAACCCTTCTGATGGGATCAGTTTAATCCAGATTTTTTTTTTGGATCAAAGTGATCCAAATCATACAAAAAAGGTCTGAAAAACCCAAACTAAAGGTTTGATCAGGATCAAACCCAAGATTGGATTACATGATCTAATCCAATTATGTAATTTTTTTTTTTTTTTTTTGAAAAACCCATTTTCAAGATTTAATCCAATCTGTTATCCAAAATCCTAGTGGATTACTTTTGGAAAACCGGGCCCAAGAAATTAGATCTCCAGGAACAGGGCTGGTCACCCCTGTTTTAGAGTGTCGCCTCTTCACTGTGCAATTTTTTTCAACATCATGGTGGGTTTCCATTTTTGTAAACTAAATATTTCATTAATGTTTATATTTTTGCATATTTCCCATTCATTACGTATGGCGTCATTTTTGTGTTTGCATACCAAATGTCAACATAGTCATTGAGTTTTAGATCATTCCAATGATTCTTTAATTTAAAAAAAAAAAAATCAATAACGGGAATAACCATATTAAAACAATAAATAAACCCATAACTTAGTAAACAGAAATCTCAATATGTAGTCATATCTAAAATGAATCCCTTTGAATGACCATTTACTCACACTTTACTCTCGCTCAAGTGCTTGTAAAGTGTTTTTGTTTTTTTGATGAACACAAAATAACATATTTTGAAGAGAGCTGAAAACCAGTAACCACTGACTTCCACAGCAGGAAGAACACTCACTGTAAAACCCAATAAATTAAGATATTTCAAACTATTTGATCAAACCGATTGCAACAAACCATTTGAGTTCAAAAACTAATTCTATTGAGTACTGTGAACTTAATCCATTTGAGTGAACAAAACAATTTAAGCACAGCAAAACCCAATAACTGAAGAGAACTCAAACCAGCTGAGTACTGTAAACTCAATAAGTTAAGCCAACTCAAACCATTTGAGGAAACTGATTACTATAAACCATTTGAGCTCAAAAAAAAAAAATCTAAATGAGTACTGTGAACTAACTCCATTTAAGTTGAATTAATGAAGTGTTTAATTATTAATTATTTAATAGTTCAGAACTCTTTTCAAATTAGTAGAATTAACTTTCAGTAAATTTTGAGTTGACTACACTCATTTCATTTGATAAAATTGACTCTTCGGTTTTACAGTGTTTTACAGAGAGTCAAACCAGTTTGGATGAAGTAAAGGGAGGGTACTTGACGACATAATTTTCATTTTTGGGTGAATGTTACCTTTAATAAATAGGAATACACAGGCTCTTTTTTTATGCATTTATTGAGGTGCATTGAGGTTTTCCAGTCCACATGCATTGAGACAGTCAGATCTGCCTGAATCAGTTCATTCATTGTCAGACTCATCTTGTATCTGGACTGCGTCTCGCTGGGCCACGTATTGTATGATGTTCGGCAATCCTGTCGCTACACAACAGCTCAGAGCACTGCGAGAGATCGACGCCTTGTTTACCGAATACCTGTGCAGAAAACAGAGACAGAAACAGATGCTGTGAATGCACTGCCACTGAAATGCATATTAAACTTCTTTCACTTTTTTTCCATTTGCAAGCATTAGCTCATGCAGTGTAAAATGTGACCCTGGACTACAAAAGTGTACATTTTGCTAATTAAGATGTAAACGTCACCAACAAACTGAATAAGTAAGCTTTCTAAAATTAAAATTTATAATAAATCTGGAATCTGAGAGTTCAAAAAGATCAAAATACTGAGAAAATTGCTTTTAAAGTTGCCTAAGTGACGTTCTGAAAGTTCTTAACAGTTGTGTGGCATCAGTCGGTAAATATAACCAGCTTCTAATTGTAAAAATTTATTAATAACATTTTTATAATACAATTCATGAAAACTGAATATGCAGATGCATTTTAGTGACAATCCCTCTCTCATTAGTATAGGATGTTAGTCTTGTTTTTGAATTTGCCACTATGCTGACAAATAGACATTTGTAGCTCGGCCCTCTCTTTTGTAATGAGCACAATCTCATTTGAATTTAAAGTGAATTATATTTACAGTAGGATATTTATAAAATCTGTTCATGTAACATGATCTTTACTTAATATGCTAATGATCATTTTAACCCACATGTACTTTTGATTATTGCCAAAAATATATCCATGCAAGATGAGATGTTACCATTCATCCATCTCCACATCGTAACAGTCCACATCAGAGATGGTGCCCGATCCGTCGAATCCTCCGACTGCAAACAACTGATCATCAACCACCTGCAACATTCAAATTAAATAAATATTAAATATGTTCAGCTTCAGGATGTACATTTATAGCGAAACCTCAAAGCGGGATGTTTTCAAAACTCCAGTACATTTGGCAATATTTATTTGGAAAACCACCCAACTTACATAAAACGTTCCCCATAAATATTAAAATCATGTTAGCTTATGTTCTTAACTTTATTCTTATATTATTTAAAACTTTTTCTGAAATTGTTATATTATTTTAACACCTTTTGGGATTTTGACTTCTTTGAAACATTTTTGATATGCAGGGCAAACATTTCCATTAAGAGCCAGTGAGGTTCAGTTTTCCACTTATTGTCAATATGGAACAAATAAAAATTTGTCACATTCATCATCACAAAATGATCATCGTAATGATCGGTGGTTTCAGCTGATGCAAGTATTATCTGTCTACATCTCACCTCAATGCCAAAGTTACTGCGTGTTTTGTGCATAGATGCAACATCCCTCCAGATGTTAGTCAGTGGATTGTAGGCCTCTGCAGTCCGCAAGCGACTGGCACCATCAAAACCACCAACCTTTAAAAAAGACATTTTTTTAAACATTTATTTTGTGTTTTTACATAGAATAAGTACAGATATGATGTAAAAATTACTCAAACTAAAATTAAGAATGAATACCAACTATAAAGCCATATTTAATAGTTAATCATTTAGTTAACACATAAATAATACAAAAACTAAAAATTGATGAACATTTTAAAATACATCATTCAGTTAAGTTTGATGTTCTCATGTGCAAAAATAAAAAAAATACATAGAAAATGATGTTTAAATGTTTATTAATGTTTAAAGTGATAACATTGTGTAACGTGATGCACTAAAATTAAGAGACACTAAAAGAGGTTTATTTAAGATACACTGAAAAAAGTAGAACTATTGTGTCTTTAATTTAAAGTTCAGTTTTATATTGTATTAAGAAAAAAATAATATGGTTTACGAGGTTAAAAATCTCAATTTACCCAATATTATGCTTCAGGTTTGACTGTTACTGGTGACGTTACAACACTTTATGAATAATGTAAAGCACAACATGCTGGTGATGAAAAATGAAGCCTGCAAGCCTTTCTTAACTTGTTTAACAATTTAGCTGTAAAAAAATATATAATTTTGCTTTAGACCAACCTAAAAACAAATTACTGTATTTTTTTTTAAGATGGTCTAAAGCAAAATTATACTTATAATTTTATAAAAAAGATAAAATAATAATAAATAATAAAAATCTATGGTTTACCAAAGTAAACGGCTACAACTAATAAAACTAATTAGTGTCTTT